CTTTAATTTGAAAGCTTTGAATTATTAAACGGTCATAATTAGTTTAAATTTCTGCTGCCGTTTCGTAGCTAAGTGGCGGGGTTCCGTTATAATTAAAACTGACTTGCTTATCCTCAGACTGGTTCCGGAATCTCAAAGTAGTAGACGGAATAAGATTGGACAACTATTTTCTTTATAAACACGATTTGTACAGAGCTGTGTACATACACAGAAAATATTTGAAATACTATAAAGATATTGGTAGAAAATCTAAGAAAAAGGAGAAGCTTGATAAGTCGGAACGACAAAACGCAAATCCAAAAAAGAACAAAACTGTAATTCACGATTCGATCTTAGAACAAACAGTCAGATTTGCCAAGAGCCTTGTCCCAGCAGCCATACCCCCAAGTAGAGATAAATCTCCAGTATACTACACCATAAAAGCATCTAAGGGACACAGAAAGAAAAGCAAACCTGAAAACAACGATTTACGCGAAAAAGATAAAATGACAAAGAAAAAAGAAGGAAAAAAGGTTAAAGAAAGAATATCTAAAGATAATTTTAACACTAATGAGTTTTTAACTTCATCTGAAAGTAACACATTAGATGACCTACAATTAAATCAATCAATGACTTGCACAGACTCTGAAACATTTGATGCAAAATACAAAAAAGACAAAGAGAATACAGTTCATTCTAAAATTAAAAATATTAATTCCGTTTCCGTTCAGAAAATCAGAAACGTTGATGGCGATACAGAAATAAAAGCTCTCGTCATGAATGAGAGCGATATAAATACTTTAGCGGAAAGTATCCAAGAGCCAATTTTAAACGCTTTGAAAGGTTGTTTGAGCGATATTAAAGCCTTGGCTTGTAAAGATAATATGAAATCATTGCAAACACATTTGTTGTGTAATACACAAAAACTTGACAACATACTCGTAACTCTAGCGTGTATAGAAAAGAAGCTAGACGCACACATCGAAAAGACGACGGTGAGAAATGTCGTGAAATCTTCTAGGCTAGAAGAACTCAGCAAAGACGTTATAAAAGAAGATTTAAGTTCAGAAGAAGAATTACTTGAAGTGAATAGAGACAACACTGATGTTGTTGAGTTTATTTATAATGATAATGTGATTAAAAGTAATTTAGGATGTGGAGAGGTTCAAGACAAGAAAACGTCCGCATCGGTTGGCGTTAAAACTGATCGTCCTAACAGAATTCCGGCTAGATTTTGTTGGACTGACACTGTAACGAAAAATTAGGAAGCATTTTGATATTGAATTTGTAATTAATTATACTTTTGAAATAGTTATGTTGTGTATTGTATTAGCTTTGATTAGATTTGTTGGCTTATTAAATTTGCTATCAATTATATCTTAAACTGGTTTATTTTTAATTAATCGAGATTGAAAAGAGAGGAAGGAGGTTAACAATTCGACTGTATTTTTTCTAGATGATTCGATTTTGATGATTCTTTTTTTATTTGGAAGATGTTGCTACTCATGTTGTCCCATTTTATTAAGCACTTAGGTTGTGTTATATATTATTTTATTATAATGCAAGTTTTTTTTATTGTACTTTAAGGCATGCACGGTACTCTGAGTGAAGATACTTGATAAGTAGTCATAAAGGGCACGCCCAGGCCGCTGTATATGCTTGAGTTGAGTACTTTTCTTACATATTTTGTTTAAGGAGGGACTTTTTACGTTACTGACGAAATACCGCCACCAATATTATATAGTTTAATCCTCAGAGGATGAACCGTCGATAAATCGACTCTCTATTAATGCGTATAAAATGCGGAGCGTCGGAATGCCAACTATTTCGCAGTTTGATTGTATGTAATAGTTAGGTATCAATTTGTGCGGACGTGTGTGTGTGTGTGTGTGTGTGTCTGCGCGCGGATGTATAGCGTTTTTATAATAATAAGTTAATATCATTTATTAATCTATTTAAATTTATTTGATCTTAATTCAGCATTGTTTTTTGTATTTTTTATGTAGGTTAAAAATTTTGAGGCTTTTTTTTTTCGAAAATCCTTTAGCAATTTGGGCAAAATACGTGATAATAAGTTCAGAACTATCAAAGGGTAAGGTACCGGGAATAATGGTCTCTTTAAACGAATTTTATGTTTTATCAAAGTTTCAAGGTACATAGTACTGGTATACTAAACCATTTTACGTTAATCTAAATAGAACAAACAAACAATAGTGAACCGTTTTTTTTTGTCTAAAGCATTTAGTAGAATTATTCCACTACTTTTTTATTAGAATTAATTCTTTGTTTGTGCATGTTTCTGGATGGTTTTCAAAAGACAACGCTTACGCTGTGATGCTAATTTAAATTTTATTTGAAAGTAATAAAAAAACAAACCTAGTTTTGGTGCTATTCAAAAATACCCGGTATCGATATTCCAGTAATCGTTTATTTCACTGGATACACAATCAAATATAAATTTTATCATCCAGAATATCCGGGAATTTATCAAACGGACATCGTATTTCAACTATTTGGGCCGTTTCGATATTCGCCAATATTTGGGATCGCGTGAACGTCGTCTATAAATCATAATCGATATTGTTCTCATTCGAGATATTCGAGTTATGCATCGATTTATATATCGATTTTTATAGTTTTCGGAGCGTATCGATTATAATATCAGAGTATGTTTCATTCTTTTCTTTATTGATTTCAATTGGGTGATGAGCTCAGCGTGCTTACCACGAAATTTTAACTTCCGTTCGTTTGCCGCTAGGGGCGCTGTCCAACTCCATAAAAATTTGAGTTAATTTTCACGCGATCGAGAAGTTAAAAAACTCGCGCTAAACACACAGGTTCCGTCGGTTGGTGTCCACGGAGACGTGAGCGCCTCGTCCCACTTCGAGATATAGTTTTATGTTATACGGTCTTACCATTCAAAATGGAAGGCAAGGACTATATATCGGCAAAAATCGAGTTGTGGTAGCGTTCTGCCACGCGTTTACACACGTTATTAAGGATCCTCCCGATCCATTAACGGTGCTTTTAGGTACCGCGAGCACCGGTCACGGTCCTCGTCGAACCCGTCACTTGCGACGAAGGGCTCGACGAGTGAATTAACCCATAGACACAGTCCACTGAGTTTCTCGCCGGTTGAAGTCGTCGTGGCCTAAGGGATAAGACGTCCGGTGCATTCGTATCGAGCGATGCACTGGTGTTCGAATCTCGCTGGCGGGTACCAATTTTTCTAATGAAATATGTACTCAACAAATGTTCACGATTGACTTCCACGGTGAAGGAATAACATCGTGCAATAAAAATCAAACCCGCAAAATTATAATTTGCGTAATAACTGGTGGTAGGACCTCTTGTGAGTCCGCACGGGTAGGTACCACCGCCCCGCCTATTTCTGCCGTGAAGCAGTAATGCGTTTCGGTTTGAAGGGGCAGCCGTTGTGACTATACTGAGACCTTAGAACTATATCTCAAGGTGTGTGGCGCATTTACGTTGTAGATGTCTATGGGCTCCAGTAACCACTTAACACCAGGTGGGCTGTGAGCTCGTCCACACATCTAAGCAATAAAAAAATAAAAAAAAAAACTTCTCAGTGGGTCGCGTTTCTGATTCGGTGGGAGATTCTGCGAAGCACTGTTCTTGCTAGGGCCAGTGTTAGCAACACATCTGGTTTGAGCCCCGTGAGCTCCTACACGTCAAGGAGAGCTGATATAGCCTCTCAAGGCTATCAGCATAGGCAGGGAAAAAAAGGTAGCACGCGTTCATATGTATACAATTAAACTATTTTTTACTGGTGGTAGGACCTCTTGTGAGTCCGCGCGGGTGGGTACCACCACCCTGCCTATTTCTGCCGTGAAACAGTAATGCGTTTCGGTTTGAAGGGTGGGGCAGCCGTTGTAACTATACTTGAGACCTTAGAACTTGTATCTCAAGGTGGGTGGCGCATTTACGTTGTAGATGTCCATGGGCTCTGGTAACCTCTTAACACCTGTGGGCTGTGAGCTTGTCCACCCATCTAAGCAATAAAAATAAAAAAAAGAGACATGAGAACGTAATACTGTTTTAATCACGTATATAAATCGCTGGAATCCGATATTACACAGAGTATGTACGGTTTGTAATATTAATCTTTGTTCTAAATGAATTTGGTGCTTTAATCGCAGCTGCCTTTGGCATCGCGGGCTAAGACTTTTCCCATTAATGCCACTCCGAACGGCGAACTTCGAGTTATCGACCTCAAAGTTAATTGGCTTTTAAGTGTGGTTCAAGAAAGTGTTCGCATTTTTCGAATTATATTATAGATGGAAGTTTTTAAACGGCTATAATCTCTGATTTTCAATCACTGTGAAATAATAATTTTAACATGCTAAGGCCCACAATAATATGGATGTACATCCCAACGATTCCTATTGAATTATTATCAGTTGTCCATAACCAGGAAAATTGTATTATTCGTAACGTCGGGAATAATTAAATTAAATTAATAAACGTGAGATTATAACGTAAACGTAATTTTAATTACCACCGCTTATTGGTGGTAGGACCTCTTGTGAGTCCGCGCGGGTAGGTACCCCATCCTGCCTATTTCTGCCGTGAAGCAGTAATGCGTTTCGATTTGAAGGGTGGGGCAGCCGTCGTTACTATACTTGAGACCTTAGAACTTATATCTCAAGGTGGGTGGCGCATTTACGTCGTAGATGTCTATGGGCTTCAGTAAACACTTAACACCAGGTGGGCTGTGAGCTCGTCCAACCATCTATGCAAAAAANGCGGGTAGGTACCCCATCCTGCCTATTTCTGCCGTGAAGCAGTAATGCGTTTCGATTTGAAGGGTGGGGCAGCCGTCGTTACTATACTTGAGACCTTAGAACTTATATCTCAAGGTGGGTGGCGCATTTACGTCGTAGATGTCTATGGGCTTCAGTAAACACTTAACACCAGGTGGGCTGTGAGCTCGTCCAACCATCTATGCAAAAAAAAAATTAAAAAATATATAAAAAAATGTATAATCTGGCAACACTCACCAACGTCTGAGCGGCGAGCTGATGCTGAAAAACATGCTCAAGTCAGTCAAGTCACAACTGGTTTAAATGTATAGCTGAAGAAAACGGAAATACTTTACGTCAATGCAGGGGCTATTAATATTGTATGTATTTAAAATTTAAATTTTAAATAAAAATCAATGCACGATTTGCACGTTTGTAGTTTTTGCATTCATCTATACATATATATAAAATTGGAGTGTCTGTTTGTATAATTGAAAACCAAAATAACCTTTTTTACAATTTTTGTCTGTCTGTATGTCTGTTTGTTCCGGCTAATCTCTCGACCGATTTTGACGGGACTTTCACTGATAGATAGCTGATGATATAAGGAGTAACTTTGGCTACTTTTTTTAGATTAGCTTTGCCCCGCGGCGTCACCCGCGGTACGACAATAACCGCGGTTAACATCGCTGGACTCAGCTAGTAAACATTATAATAGGAACTTGGGATAGTTTTTGTTGGCATTTCGCGGTAGTCATGATAATATTAGCACACGATAGAAAACGTGTAATTAAGTTAAATAAATCCTATACAAACAGCGAAGCGTGATTTTTTGCTAGTTATTAATGCCAATTGTTTTAGAGAAGTCGAGGTGATTAGATTAAGAGCTAAGGCTTATTTGGGAGAAATTGTCATATTCATGGAGATGGAGAGTTTCGTAATTAGACTAGCTGATTATCACATGGCCGACCCCAAATTATATGGTCTCATGGATACGGTAGAAAATTAAGGTATTATTGGGGACGCAACACACACGATCATCTGACCCCAAGCTAGCATACCCTGGTCCATGGAAACCAAAAGACTGATACACATACTTATGCATGTTACAGTATATACACACATAGATATCAAACACCCACAGTCGTCGTGTCCTAGAGGATAAGACGTCCGGTACATTCGTGTTGAGCGATGCACCGGTGTTCGAATCCCAGGCGGGTACCATTTTTTCTAATGAAATACGTACTCAACAAATGTTCTCGATTGACTTCCATGGTGAAGGAATAATAACATCATGTAATAAAAATCAAACCGCAAATTTTAATTTGCGTAATTACTGGTGGTAGGACCTCTTGTGAGTCCGCGCGGGTAGGTACCACCACCCAACCTATTTCTGCCGTGAAGCAGTAATGTGTTTCGGTTGGAAGGATGGGGCAGCCGTTGTATCTATACTTGAGACCTTAGAACTTATATCTCAAGGTGGGTGGCGCATTTACGTCGTAGATGTCTATGGGCTCCAGTAACCACTTAACACCAGGTGGGCTGTGAGCTCGTCCACTTATCTAAGAAATAAAATAAAAATAAAGCCCACACAAAACTACCAGAAATACAAAGACCAATCAAATCGGTTGGTCGAGCGAATAACAACATATATGTTCGTAAGCTTGTATATTTAAAAATCTGTCAACTGGCCCTGCGAGTCTGCTAGGGTGCCTGGAACGAGGCCAAGTTATTCAGCACTTATCATTATCTAGATAGATACTTGGCTCCGAAGCCCGGCCTGACATATTTGGCTCTTGGTATGACAGTTCTGATGTTGCCACATTCAAAATATTCGGGATCGAACGAGTTTTTATTTAAGAGTTGTGTCCGTGATTTAGGCAACAGATACAGCCGGCGTCTTATCATGGATAGCAATTGGTACATCCTTCGTTGTGAACAATTATTTAGGTATATATTTACATATGTCGTGGAAAGAGACTTATGTAATAATAAGATTCTTTATTTGATTTCTATTTAAATGATAAAATTTTGTTTTGATAAACAAAATTTGTTTTTTTTTTTTAGGCTAGTTGCTGTAATGCCATTTTATAAAAAGGCGGTACGAGGGCAGAGTTGGTTTCAATGATGACCTGAAGTTTGACTCAGTCAGCAAGTATCTACAGTCGGCATCATTGTGCCACTTTAAGAAAGCGGCACGACATGAAAACCCACTTGTCGTGGCCGCTGGGAATTATATACCCGATCCTATAGACCGAATGGTAAATAGACGACGTCACCCAAAACACGTCATTACGGATCCTCCCGATCCATTAATGGTGCTTTTAGGTACCACAAGCACCGGTCACCGCCCTCGACGAAGGGCTCGACGAGCGAATTAACCCATAGACACAGCCCACTGAGTTTCTCGCCGGATCTTCTCAGTGGGTCGCGTTTTCGATCTGGTGGTAGATTCTGCGAAGCACTACTCTTGTTAGCAGGGCCAGTGCTAGCAACGCTCTAGTTTGAGCCCCGTGAGCTCACCTACATGTTAGGGTGAAGCTGAAATAGCCTCTAAAGGCTATCAGCATAAGGAGTAAAAAAAAGAGTTGGTCAAGTCAGAACGAAACTGTCGGCTTACTCTTTCATTGTGAAAATTATTTGTTGAGAGTTGCAATAATTATTATTCAATTAAGGCTTTATTTACTTTTATTGTAATAAATTTAGTTCCACCGAATAAGAATGATGATGGGTTTGCCACTCAGCCATTCCTGGTGCCGACATATACATATACAATATAAATTATAAGGTTAATTTCCATTTGTATTTGTACTATACCTATAAGAGAGAAATAAATAAATAATTAAATTATAAATTATAACGATAACGGATTTTGAAAAAAAAAACATTTTTTAAAATAGTTTGAAGGAGGATATGTCTTCTTAGGTCTTTCGGAACACCGTACGGATGGTATGTGGTATTAGTTTTCTCTTGGATTAGATTATGAAATTGTGAGCTGAAGTGTTTCGGTATCATTGATCCACCCGCTTCTGCTAGAAGCAATCATACGCTGCGTTGAAGAGTTGGTTAATTATTATTCCATCACAAATTAAATTTCATGTCAAAATCGGATAACAGTGCTCGTGGTGTTTATATTTTTGTCCGATATCTCAAATGTTTTTTTTCATTTATAATCAAAATTACTATTACCGCTTAATCTCGCTTTTTCTTGTCGATTATCGATTTCGAATATCGTCATCAAGACATATTATGTGTATAGTGGCCACGAAAACTGTAAAGTTAAAGTGGTTGATAATTAAACCACTGTTTTCTTTTAACTTAATTCTGTATCAGTTGTATCTTGTTACAGTCAAGTCCAGTTTTAAATGTGAAACTTTTAGAATGGCCTGCAGCAGCAGCTTTAGATCGAGTGTGCCACGAATTATCTGTTGATCTGCGCGAATTAATAAAAGTTGAACGTCGATAATTAATTTGATTAACAAAAAGTTTTTTTTAATGCACTGGATTGTTTTATTTAAATATCGGTTACTAAGGCTGTTTTCGATTAAAGCTTTAACTTCAGTGACCCCGAGCTTTCGTTACAGCTTAACGAATAGCGTGACCGTGTTCCGTGCTCGCATCGATAAAGGTAAAGCTTGTTTCCTGATGCTTTCAGAAAACTTCGTTGCTTGAAGGGTATTGCTCGGCTGGATTTTCTTTTTATTTTGATATACTGATTGAGCTTTGCGGTAGAAATTGGTATAATGGTGGTTGATACCTAAGAGTGTCGGTAAATAATATGGTAATATGGTAAAATATATCACAGTGCTCTGGTATAAAGCACTGCGGGCCATTCCCAATGAGACGAATGGTAGAGCTCAGGGACCATCTGTTTTTAAGTGATCACTTGAGTCCATATACATCAACAACGTAAATGCTACCAGCCAACTTGAGACAAGTCTCAGTTTTACACTAGAATTGCTGCCAAGGCCTTCAAACCCAAACGCATTATTGCTTCACGATAGAAATAAGTAGGGTACCTACCGGTGAAGGTTCATATGGCGCTATTCCACCAGTGATCGTTAGGTCATCTTTTACGATCGAACAAAAAGAGTCGATGTTAATCTAGGCTGGCATTGCACAGCGAAAAAAGTTCGATTTTAATTCCATTAGCAAAAAGTTCGAATAAAAAAAAAGTCTGTTTAAATAAAAATCTTTAGTTACATGGTACGTATTTTATTTGTAATTAAAAAAGTTTGCGAAAGCCAGTGGCTTGCAGTTTGTTGCCACACTGCGCGCCGGCTACTAACTACATTTTAGAATTTTGTTTTCTCTTAAAAGTCTAGCATATTTTTTTTTTTTTTAAGGTAAAATTACTGTTTAGTTACAGTGAAGTTTTAATGTTTTTTTTTAGTTTTAATGGTTGTTGTATATTAAAAAAAAATCAGAAGTTTACGTAAAAATTTTGCTACACGGTAAGTTTTTCAGACATTTTATTATAACTATTTATAATTAGGGTCTGAGCGTATGTACCCAAAGTATTTATACATAAATTTTCGTGTATACCTAATTAGGGTATGCGAACAATTATTTTCGCTAAGCAAAGGCTACGCGGTTACGTAGTCCGTGTGCTACGTAGCGTTGCTACGGTGCTACGGTGCTACGGTGAACTTGGTTGCGTTAATAAAAGCGATGCATTGTCGGCGAACGTTCGTTCGAGCTTTATGTTCATTGTTTCTGAAGCTTTTGTTTGCCGGGAAATGTTTGAAGGGAAAATGTAGGCTTCCGTTTGGTCGTATTTTTTGTTTAAATCATTGTTACACTCGTGGACCGTGATTGTTGGAAATGTTCATTAAGAGTTGTCAAAATGACGTATAGAATTTTAAGTTTTACTTAAAAAGGGGGGCGAGTATGTGGTCCGCGTGATGATGATTGGATATTGTCGTTCAGAAACATTAGCAAGGGATAAAGCCAAGTTGCTGTCCACCAGAGAAGATCAGGGTCCTGGAACAGGTCCAAGTTTTGTACAAGGACACATCATTGTGCTTAGAATATTGATTATGTTTTATGTGGGGAATTTCATTTTAGATCAGGATGGTACATTGGAAAAATAATTACGGGAAATGGGCGACATGTTTTAAATGATTTTTTTACTTACTTTTAAATTGGAGATGTACTATTAACAAAAATGTTTTTTATATCAATTTTTTTTACTTATTTTATTGACACTAACATCCAGGTACAGTAGAAGATAGGTGACGAATGTTAAATCTATCCAACCATTGTTAATCGAAGATTGATTTAAGAAAGAAAAAAAAACTTTGGACGTTCAGAAATGTTTTTAAGAGATAAGAACATGTCCACTCGAATATCGAATACAGTTCATCATCATCATCACCAGCTCACATTCGTCCACTGCTGGACACCGGCCTCTCCCAATCCATTTTTTTTTTTTTTTTTTTTTTTTTTTTTTTTTTTTTTTTTTTTTTTTTTTTTTTTTTTTTTTTTTTTTTTTTTTTTTTTTTTTTTTTTTTTTTTTTTTTTTCTCCTTTGTAGGCAGACGGGCATACGGCCCACCTGATGGTGAGTGGTTACCGTCGCCCATGGACTTCAGCAATGCCAGGGGCAGAGCCAAGCCGCTGCCTACCGCATAAGTTTACACACACCATTATTATTCCTTCGATAGGGAATGTATTGGGAATGTCTTACTGCAATCACTTTTGCATTAAAATATCTTAAGATTTCAAAACAGTAACGCGTCTAAAACATATACACAATTCTAATCCGATTTTGAAAATTCGATCACGTCATCAAAGATAAGTAACAATAACAGACGACGACCTCTCGAAGAAAAATGTAATTTCAGCTTTTTCAGGAAAATTATAATTTACATCTTATACGAGGATGAGGTTGGTTTTTATGAAACCAATATAGCGATTCAATGAGAAGGCTTTCCGCGAAACACTGTAGTTAATTGTTTTGTAATTGCGCACCGAGCGAGTCCGGAGTTTTGGCTCGGTGCCAAAGCTCCTCAGATGTCCTCCTGACGCGTCGGATCCATGAAGCAAGCGCGCAGTCCTTCTGAATCCTAGTTGTGTATTATTATGTGGCTTTTTTAATTTCGTGTATCGCTGCATTTGTTACGAGTTTCCATGATTACAGATCAGAAACATTGGAGACGCTATTTTTATAGGCGTTTATTGTGAGTGTGCAGTGGATGCGACAATGATATTTTTTTATTGCTTAGATAGGTGGACGAGCTCACAGCCCACCTGGTGTTAAGTGGTTACTGGAGCCCATAGACATCTACAACGCAAATGCCGCCACCCACCCTAATACATGAGTTCTAAGGTCTTAGTATAGTTACAACGGCTGCCCCGCCCTTCAAACCGAAACGCATTACTGCTTCACGGCAGAAATAGGCGGGGCGGTGGTACCTACCCGTGCGGACTCACGCGAGGTCCTACCAGTAAAAAAGGTCATAGGAATACGTCAAAATCTTATTGTTATCACAAATTGTAGTTATTGTATTACATTACAAGCACGTGCATACGAAGCGCTTTGAAAAACCAAACCCGAAAAACGTATGTTTGTGGAATTACGGATGAGAAGAAACCACATTTCTGCACGTGATAATGATGATTTTAATTCCTTTTCGATATCTCAATGTCATAAAGTCCTCGAATGGAGGCCACGGATGGGTACCAGGAGCGTGGGGCGTCCTGCAACCAGGTGGACTGACGACTTAGTGCGCACGGCGGGAAGTCGGTGGATGCGGAAGGCGGAGGATCGCATTATGTGGAAGGCATTGGGGAAGGCCTATGTCCAGCAGTTGTCAGATAACGGCTGATGATGATGATGATGATATCTCAATTTTTTTTTTGTTTCATGTATAATTAAAATTATTATTACAGTTTAATCTCGTTTTTTTATGTTATTATCGATATTCGAATATCGTCATCGAGACATATTATGGATAGTGGCCACGAAAACTGTAAAGTAAAAGTGGTTGATAATTAAGCCACCGTTTTTTTTAAATTTCATTCTGCATAAGTTCCACCTTCTTAAAGTCAAGTCTGGTTTTAAATGTGAAACTCTTAGAGTTCCAAGGCTCGGGAGAAGGAGGTCGAAATATTATTTATATAGCCCAACTTTGAAAACAGATCGCGTGTCTGTTTCGCGGCCGAATTAGGCGCAATGATGCTACTTACGCAGACTCAAACCACGCTCGACTGAACATTAAAACTGTGATCATGAATATATTTTTCTCATAAATATTGACAGATTAACTAAACCCTACTTGACATTCAGCTTTATATTTGTAAAACCTTATTTAACCGCGGGACGCCGTCATTACGCGAAGACACTTCTCAACAAACGAGCCGCGTGCTTGTCACTCGTCGCTTGCATTAAAACGTGCGTTTAGGCATACGTTAAATAATAAAAAAATGCAATTAATAATGTAATTAACTAAAAATATGTTCAAAAATAGTATTTTAAATGTATTTGTAATATAGTCAATTTGTTTTAATTTCATTCTAGTATTCGTTCTTCAGTCTAAGTTATATACATGCTGTTATTATAAATATGCACGTGCATTTAAAAAAATTACATTTTTGATAAAAAAAATTCGATTCATTGATTCTATTGGTCTAAAGGGTCCTCGTATTTCTATGGGATACTATTTTGACGCAGATTCATTGAAGTTTCATTCAACATTATGTAATTGTGAAATCAAAGCGACGTGAAACGTGTTATTTACGTTACCGTACCGTGAGTACGGAGTACGGAGCTCTCTGTCAACTACTGAGTAAATATGTAGTTCGTTAAATGCGTGTGTTTGAGCGGCGCTAAGGTATTTGTAAGTTACGTGCTAATCAAATCTGCGCCAAAGACTAACTGTATCGCATGCAAGGGATGTGCGGGCGAGCTCACCGTCGGCATCAGCTGATCTGTACTCCTGACCCGGGTCACCTTGTTCTTGTAGATGAGCTTCTTGAAGGCCCTCTCGACCGGCTGGTTCCACCTCATGAACATGACGTACGCGCCGTAGAGCGAGAACAACACCAGCGCCTCCTGCCAGTAGATCCTGTTGTCCCGGAAACAGTATATCAACACTAGCAGGCTGATCGAGTAGAAGGTGCAGTCCCGGAACAGCGGCCACCAGGTGAGCGACAGCGTCGTGCGGGAGAACATCGCGCAGGCACCGATCACGAACAGGATGTTGAAGACCGCGGAGCCGACGATCGTCCCGATGCCGACGTCGTCGAACGACACGAACACGCCGATGACGGAGGTGAACAGCTCCGGGGCGGAGCCCCCGGCCGCCATGAACGTGGCGCCGGCGACGTCGTCGCGGATCTCGAGCCGCTCTATGATGACGTCGAGCGCGGGCACGAAGAACTCATCGCAGACGATGGCGAGCGCGACGAACATGTAGCCCATTCCGAGCACGTGCAGCAGCACCGCGCCGGACCGCCGCTGCTCCTCGCTGAAAACGTCGGGCGGGAAGAGCGGCGTCTTTGCATCTTCAGTGGCGTTCGGCAGCTGGGTGGCGTTGGGCAGCTGGGTGGCGTTGGGGTCGCCGGCGCGCGCCGCCGCCAGCAGCGCGAGCACGAGCGCGCCTCCCATGCCGCGGCTCGGAGCACAGTGCCGGCGCGTCGCCCGCCGCTCGCTCGATACCGCCGCACTGCGCACCGGCCCCGGGCCCCACGCGACCTCCGACCCTCATGCGTATTTCCGACTGGCTACGCTTTTGAGCCGATCATCTTTTTGCATAAAAGTTCTTGTGCAGCGTGCTTCGGGAACGCCGCCCAGCCGCGCCGTCACATTCCTTCGCTCATGCATTTTTAAATGGATATTTTAATTTAAATGTTTACTGCGAGACTCGGCCGCTCCGTTTCTCTTATAAATATTATATGAAAATTAAAATTAACGTTCAACTCATTCAACTGTTCACTAATTTATTCATTTGAAATACTAAACCCTTTTCGATTTTTACTTTACAATAATATTATTCGTTTCTGCTATGAGCATTATTTTTGTGTTAAAACATTCAAGTCTCCCATAAATATTAGACCATCTGGAGATCCATATTTTTTATACGCAAAATGAGTCTTAAAAGTCTGACAAATACACCACTATATGTCTCAGAAAAACTAAAAGAAAATAAAGAGAGTAATCAACTACATAATTACAAATTAGTGACTGTTCTCCAATCTCAAAACTTCAAACACCCTCACGCGATTTCCCAGGCATACACAAATGCACACACACAGAAATAAGCCCCCTCTGAGTTCGATAGGAATAAAACAAAAACTCCACGCTCCCCTAGTCTAGACATCATATCTACCTAGATGCTCGTAAGCGTATACAATTTCAACGGCTTGCATTCCCCTCTGTATCCAATTTAGGGTTGTTACCGAGGGTGCATATTCCCATTTACAGATATACTGATATATACATTTGTGTTGACAGTTCGAGGCGATGCTCCTTAACGAGATATCTACACATGGAGGAAAGAAAAGTTATTGGCTTTAAGCAGCATTTTTGTAATTTTACAGGAGAATCGTTAAAATTTTAAAATTTGGAAAAAACATCATGAAAAAAAACTTTTTCAGCTATTAGAATGGAGTAAACTTAGTTGTCGTTCAATTACAAAACATTGAATTGTTGATGCTATTAACCAATAAAACGGACATTAATCTATACTAATCTATACTAATATTATCTATACTAATCTATTCTAATATAATATTATAAAGAGGAAATATTTGTTTGTTTGTTTGTATTGAATAGGCTCCGAAACTACTGAACCGATTTGAAAAATTCTTTCACTGTTTGGAAGCTACACTATTCCCGAGTGACATAGGCTATAATAGTTTTTGAAAAAATTAGGGATTCTTACTAAAACTCCAATAATGTAACCCAAGGTTTAAAAAAATTGCCTAAAATATCCTTTACATCGAATTTGCGAATACTATTGATGATAGAATAAAATAATAATCTAATACGACTTTGTAGAACACATTATTATTTATAAAAAGTGTTGCGACAGTATATGTCTAACTATTATAGTTATGCCGCAATAAGTGTTCTTTTATTTAAAAACATAAAACAACGTCAAATATCGTTGAAATTTTTGTTAAAGACCCGAGCGGAGCCGGAGCGGGCCGCTAGTTATAAAGATAAATGTCGCGTATTAAGCGAAATATCGCTTAAACCAAATAGCCTTTCACCCTTCGATATATATTTAAAACTAGCTGACCCGGCAGACTTCGTAGTGCCTCAATCGATAAATAAAAGACCTAAACTTTTGTATAAAATAAACTTAAAACAAACAAAAGGAATCCGTCCGACGGGGGACACATCAAAGGAAAAACAAAATTGTTATTTTTATTTAATTCCGAGCATTTTCATATTTATTTAGCTTTAAAACCTTCTCTGGACTTCCACAAATAATTCAAGACCAAAATTAGCCAAATCGATCCAGCCGTTCTCAAGTTTTAGCGAGACTAACGAACAGCAATTCATTTATATATATATATATATATAGATACCTTATACTATCAAGAACTAAATATAATATTTAAGGATGGTATGTCAAAATCTAATGGATCTTTAAGCTTTAAAATCTTTTTTTTTTTCTCTTATTGCTTCGATGCGTGAACGAGCTCACGGCCCACCTGTGTGTGTTAAGTGGTTACCGGAGTCCATAGACATCTACAACGTAAATGCCAACCTACCTTGAGACATGAGTTTCAAGTCTTAGTTTTTCAGTACAACGGCTGCCCCGCCCTTTAAACCGAAACGCATTACTGCTTCACGGCAGAAATAGGCTGGGCGGTGGTACCTACCCCTGCGGACTCACAAAACGTTCAACCACCAGTGATTACATACGCAAATTATAATTTTGCGGGTTTGATTTTTATTATCTATATGTTAATACGTGAAGCAAAAACTTTGTATCCCTTTTTACGAAATTTGCGCGGACGGAGGAGTATGAAATTTTCCACACTTATAGAGAATATAGAGAAGAAGTGCACAACGCTAATATTTTTTAAAATAATGCATAAAAGATACATTAAATCAATAAAGAAAACATTACACACACTACATACCATGTATTTGACGCACACACGCATGCATACTATTTACTGTCATACTTTTGTCCGAATCCTGATCATGCAGGAGCCAGTCACCGTCGACGCCCTAGACACGTCCTTACGGATCCATCAGATCCAATAACCTTTGCATTAGATGCCTTCAGCTCTAATACTAGNATAAACTTACAATTCCAATTAATTATAGTCGAATTTCGATTACTGCGGGACCACTAGTACAATGTTATTCCTTCACCGCGGAAGTCAATCGTGAACATTTGTTATGTAGTACGTATCTCATTAGAAAAATTGGTACCCGCCTACGGGAATCGAACACCGACGCGCATCCCTACATACGAATGCACCGGACGTTTTATCCTATAGGCCACGACGACCTTTTTTAGGCCAAGGAAAAAGTGAGACCTGACTTGAAAATAAATCAGAAACATCAATTTCGTTTATGACAAAAGAACTTATCGTTTCAGTTATATATATAACTTTTTTTTTTAATTTTTTTTTTATTCTATTGTTCGATGTGTGGACGAGCACACGACCCATCCGATGTTAAGTGGTTATTGGAGCCCATAGAGATCAACAAGTTGAATTTCGCCACCCTACCTTAAAATATGATATGTATTTACTCCCTATAATACTCATTTTATGGCACAACGGCTGCTGCATTTTTTTTTATTACTAGATGAGTGGACGATCTCACAGCCCACCTGGTGTTAAGTGGTTACTGGAGCCCATAGACATTTACGGCGTAAATGCGCCACCCACCTTGAGATATAAGTTCTAAGGTCTCAAGTATAGTTACAATGGCTGCCCCACCCTTCAAACCGAAACGCATTATGCTTCACGGCAGAAATAGGCAAGAATACCTACCCGTGCGGACTCACAAGAGGTCCTACCACCAGTAAAGCATTCTTAAACTATAACAGAACTAAACAGAAATAAGCAAGGCGATGATTACAAGATGTCCTACCACCACTAAAATAATTTATTATTTTAATTTAATACGTATAGAATCGAATAGAACGTTTCAAATGTGTACTGCTAGCCACTAAAGAGTTATCACGTTAGGACCAAATTTTTAAGGCGGTAACTATGTCATGATAAAGCTTTAAAGCTAGTAGCTAATCCTGAATGCTAATTCATGTCAAAGTTACAATAAAGCTGCGCTATTATTAAGCCATCATGTAAAAATTTTAAACCGTTTAAATGGTTCTAATTTAGCTTATAAATTAGATATATGCAGACGTTGCAAGCTAAATAGATTTTGAAGTAAAACTTTCAGAAGCCTTCGAGCTCCTGTTATGCTAATGAGCGTTTATATCCATCTTTTTTTAGTGTCGCTTATTCGTTCCATCTCTAGTAACAAAATAAAAAAAAATAAAAAAACTTTACTATTATCTCTTGTCAGTAAAGTATGCTGGTGAATGGCACTGGGAATGGCAATGGTAAGAAGTTTTGATTTATTATACCGGGTGGTCTAGCCACCAAACGGTGACCATGACTTTGTAAGGGTAGGTTTTCGTTTGGGTCATTGTCTAGCTACCAAAAGGTCTAACCAACATGATGATCGATTATAATTAACAAAAATAATATATTTTTCAACGCGAGTAACAAAGCGGCACCTAATATAACAATATAATTTTCGGGCGACCAAGGGGCTCATTTTTTAGATCAAAATTTCCATATCGGACCATGTCCACCTTTCAAACCGATAATGATTAGTGCGTTCGTTTATAGTGTTAACTCCGAACCAGTCAATAATTTTCATTTAATTGTAAGCAGTTTGGGGGCCATTGTCGCCAAGACGGAACACGTTTTCCATAATTACTCTTTTTTATTTTTATTTATTGCTTAGATGGGTGGACGAGCTCACAGCCCACCTGATGTTCAGTGGTTACAGGAGCCCATAGACAACGTAAATGCGCCACCCACCTTGAGATATAAGTTCTGAGCTCTCAGTATAGTTACAACGGCTGCCCAACCCTTCAAACCGAAACGCATTACTGCTTCACGGCAGAAATAGGCGGGGTGGTGGTACCTACCCGTGTGAACTCACAAGAGGTCCTACCACCAGTGCTAAGTCGTATTTTTATAGTGTCCATATCGATTAAAAAGTTACATGTGTAGTGATATTAAAACACTAAGTAACGAACAAATGACTGAATTTAAAAATTTATTGCCAGCTATACGTAAATAACGTTATGAATGACCAGTATTGTAAGATGGCAACTAACAATATTTTTTGCACTTGATAATATATTTTTTGCTACCTATGTAATTACACTTGAAATAAAGTGAATAAATTTTTACTTGTATCAATAAATGTATCTAAATTTTTTTTTTTATATGCAGCAGTTTGTTCTCTATGTTGTTTCTCCCATGCTATAATTTTCATTGTGCTTAGCAGTGGGTTATCGCGAGTTAATTAAAATTATAGGTCTAGAATCTGATGGCAAAAAAAAGGGGAAAAAATAGCGATTTTCATATGACAACAAAAAAAATTTCATCTGTCAAAACTGAAATTTCGAGGAATTGTTTTTGGTTTGGCTTCAAATTTCCTTTAAAAAGTGGTGAAAATGTCGAAGAAAAATCTTCGATCGCAAGCAAGGAATATTGTTTTCAATGTTTATTAAAGAATACTTGATGAACAAGGTGCAGAACAAACACAATCATCGATATTGAGCCATCTGCAAGCGTTGACTGGTTAGTAGGAATGACACGTCTTGATACTTTGGTTATTTGCATTTTAGTGTGTATTGTGTATAACTGTATGTAAATTGTGTAACTTTGGTTTATTTCAGGTGTTTCTAATACTACCATAAGATGAATTGTTGCTGAAGGCAGATCTAACAGAGGCTTATTTAGTACGCCCGGTAAAAAGAGGAAAGGTGGCAAAAATATTGCGCCTTCCTCGTCTTCCTCTTCCGATGCAGACTTTTTTATGGATGTGCAGTATTTGGAACCATTTTCAAGTTCTGATAGCCTATAGTTAATTAATAAGTTCATAAACAGATTAATTGGAGTTTTCATCTAAATTTCGAACCCCACATTCGCCACAGTAAGATTTTCAAAAATTATCCTTGATCATTGCATAAATTTTTATATTTGCATGTATCACACAGAACCAGCCGCTATAAGAAAAAAAAAAGTATCAAAACGTTTTACTCCAATTTCTCCAATATTGCTAGCGTCAATTTCTTTTTTCCCTTTTTGCCATCAGATCGTGGTAGACCTATAACTTTTATGGTTTAATCGCGTCTTATCTATATAGACGATCACGATAACTATTTATTACGTTGGAATGAATCCTCGTCTCACCTCATACAATTCTCTTTTATATAATTTTAACTAATAATTTTAACATAAGCGGCTGTATGGGTAAATTTCCTTTTGCGTTTGCATTGGCACAAAAAAAAGAGCATGTGAAAGATATCATATCACTTCACTTATCACACGTAAGGCTTCTAAGGAGATTATGAGCTAGAAATTAGTTTCTGTGTTAATTTCATTACTGAAGAGAAGAACGTAATTAGGTTCAAAAATGTGGCTGGATGAAGCAGATGGCTTTGCTGAAATATTCAAAGGCTATTTGCCTTTTTATCTTTTCGTTGCCCTACCTATTTTCATTATAATGTCTCCAGTTAATCCTGTGGCGGCCTCACACGAATTTTCCGTGTACAGAATGCAACAATATGACTTACACACCGTTCCCCATGGTAAGGTTGCTTATATTTATAGAGTTTAATTTAAAAAATTGAATAACAATGACCTATAAATTTTGAGGTTACTCTATATTTTTTTCATATTGAAGGTAAGATTACAGGCTGTTTGCATTTGGATCAGTGGCTTATCATTTGACATAAATATTTTGTTAGAAACGTATTTATTAACATTAGGCATCTTGGCTTAAAAACAAGTCACCAAAAATCAGAAGTGATTAGTTAGTTTACTTAAATTTACATATAATATAAATTTTTGTCGTAGGTTGTCGTAGTGCCAGCTTCAACTTAGAAGGTCGTTCTTTAACATCATGGAGCACATCACGCCACTGTGTCGTTGCACGCGTACAGGAAATAACTTTAGAACAGTTCCTAGAAATCCGCAACAAAGCTGGGGCGTTGTTATTAGTATTACCTAAAAATGAAACTCTTTTGACGCCTGAAGAAAGAGAGGTAAGATTACAATAACACACTATATGCAGGAAACGGAAACATTGAAAAATCATATAAAAATAAAAAAATTCAAAGTTATTGGCGAATATATAATGTTACTAGCGGTACTTGCCCGCTTCGCTGGGCATTTAAAATTAACATTATTATTTGTTGTTGTTATTAGGGAGTCCAACACTCATTTATAAATATAAACCTATCCATTAAGAAAGTATTTTCTACATGGATACCAAGTTTTAAGTCAATCTTAAGCTTGGTTCAGTAGTTATAACGGAACATCCATAAAAACCACTGTAGATTTATATATTAGTATAGATGAGGACAAGAATGCTGTATACTTCCTTACTTGCTAGTATGGTTTTGTTTTTAACAACATTTATACAAACTTGCTATATAAAGAGCCAGACTTTCATTTCAGCTTAGCATGTAAAAGTAGCTATTTTAATGATATATCCAATTTTAATTTTATATGGGATTCTCACACGATTTTTTGTAATTAAATATGTAGATACTTAACACAGGTTCATGAATGACTTGCACACCACCTCACCTATTTCTTACACATCGTATTATAGAACTAAGACTTAGAACTCAGGTCTCGAGGTGAATATAAGCATTTTTGTTTATTTGTATGGATTATGATTACCACTTGACACCGGGCATGACTATGAGAACTGTCACATGTTAAAGCAATAAAAAAAATAGATAGTCAATAGGTTAATTGTAGTGATATTGTTAGGAAGAGCACTTTTGCATGTTCAGAGTCTGTACTAAGAACCTTGGTTGTATGCAGCATATTCAATTGCTGGAAATGGCGATGGTACAACAAGAGATCAATGCACCTGTGTACTTTGCTCGTTGGACTCCTGAAATGGAGGACATTCTGGCTGACCTCCAGCATAGTTTTATTACGGATGACAAGTCAGGAACTGCTCTAGAGGCGATGTTCAACACTGTATCATCAAATGGATATCAAATTGGTAAGTTTAACATAGTTACTAACTAATGCTGAAACACTTAAGTTTAATTACTAAAACTAATAGACAAATTTGCTTTATTTAACAGGCAATGTTCAATTATATTTGTTTAAGTTATTATTAAAGCCAATTTTTTTTTATAACCATCATCCTCTGTGCGTCGTATTCCTCAGTTCTGAGGGTCGTGACCTTTACTGAGCACTTTTGTTAGGACTATGTTCCTCCATTCGCTTCTGTCCTCCGCGCAGTGGATAGCGACATTGATGCTGGATTCCAAAGTCGCCTTAATCTGATCGGATCAGCGCATGGGACTACGCACCCTAGGCCTCTTTCCTTCCACTTTGCCGGTGATGAGAAGTCTTTTGAGATTGTCACCCTTTTTCCTCGGAACGTGACCGAAAAACTCTAAAATCCTACGTAGGCAAATGGTGGAGAGTCTCAAGGAGACGCCTAGTTCTTCCAGGATTAATTATATTATTATATTAATTATATTGATTGATTTATAACCATAAAGAACTTGAATATTATTTCAATTTTAGAAAATAATTAAACATAACTGAACTCTTGTTGTTTTTTCCTATTCAGTTGTCTCAGCCCCAACTCCACAGAAGCTCGATTCTAAACCAGTCACGTTACACGGCAAACTTATTGGGCGCTCTGGTTCAGCTCAAACCATTGTTATTGCTGCAAATTACGATTCCGCTGCCCTCGTACCGGTAACTACAGTTTTTTAAAATTAAAAGTACCATTTAAAATAAGAAAAAATGCAAGTAATTGATTTACTTTCATGTGTAACAGTTTTCATTTTGGGCATAAAGGACATGGGCCATTTTCAGCCCAGCTACTAGTGCTCTCAAGGACACGAATGAAATATCTATAGAAAAGAAAATTCATTTTTACATATTTATTATAAAATTTAAGGGTATTTTAATGGTGGGATAATTAAAATTCATAAATAAAAAGAAATTAGCATGACTAAGCTACATTGATAATATTGAAGGAGTTGCCATAGGTAAAATATATTTATATTTTAAACAATCCACACTAAATCTTCTTAAAAAATACATTATATTGCAAAAAACTAGCAAAATATATTAACATATTTAATTAATGGATTTTAAAACTAATGTAAAACATTATATCTAAACAAAAATCAATTTTTTACTTTGAAATCCGTAGAATAAATCATTACATTGATCAATAATTTTATTGATCATTAGCAAAAACAAAACGACGCTTGTGTAATGTTTATTTACGTTTTACATTTGATCAGTCGTTTTCGCACTCGTGCGCATTGTGGATATTATTAAGTGTTTCGTTGCGATATACCTGCTTATTATATTTTGTCGTGCATAAAATTAAGTCTTGGCGTTCATTGAATTAGGTTTGTGTTATAAAGTACGGTAATATTTAAGCTGATGATGATGTTAAAGTGTAAGTGTATTGACAGCAAATCATATGGTATAGGTAACCTAAAAATCTTATCTTATTTTTTAAATATCTCTGTATCCCCATGAACAATATTGATTTTAATTTTTGTAGGCAGAAGAGTATACGGCCCAACTGATGGTGAGTGGTTACCGTCGCCCATGGACTTCAGCAATTCCAGGGGCAGAGCCAAGCCGCTGCCTACCGCTTAATACTCTCCACAAGCCTCTTTTAAAGAAGGACATGTCATAGCGCTCGGGAAGTTTATTCGCGTCAGCCACCGCGGTGGATCGCTGCACGTTGACTGACTAACGTCTATTGCTCATTACTATAACTGCCCCTTACATAATTAATAAATACTTTTATAGGAAATATCCCAAGGCGCAGATTGTAATGCATCAGGAGCGGTAGCATTACTGGAATTGGCCAGGATATTCTCGCGTATATACTCAACGGCTGGGGGGCGCGGAGCTCCGACTTTGGTCTTTGTGCTGACTTCGGTGGGGCACTCGCTCAACTATTTCGCCACTAAGAAATGGCTAGAAGAACAATTGGACTCCAGTGACGCTTCATTGCTTCAAGTAAGTTTTTTTTATTGCTTAGATGAATGGATGGACGAGCTCACAGCCCACCTGGCGCTAAGTGGTTTCTGAAGCCCATAGACATCTACAACTTAAATGCGCCATCCATCTTGAGCGATAAGTTCTAAGATCTTAGTATAGTTACAACGGCTACCCCACCCTTCAGACCGAAACGCATTACTGCTTCACGGCAGAAATAGGCAGGGCGGTGGTACCTACCCGCGCGGACTCACAAGAGGTCCTACCACCACTGAGTTGTTAGATTTAACTTTGTTGAACGGATAATGACTTTTATTTAGTGTTTAAGAATATTAAATAGTTTATTTTAGTCATAAAAGTTTTGTAATTTATTAAAGATGTTAAAAAGTTAATTACCTAACAGTTAAATAGTGACAGCCCTATCGAAAAACTCTATTGTCCCCTTAAGCGACTCGGTTCGCCCACACGCCTAGGTGAATAGGGACAAGTCAGTTTTTGTAACTTTTTGTAACGTCTGAAGCTAATAAAAGCGAATTAAAAAAAAAACTCATCAAAAATGACATCCCAGATTTGTCCCTATTCCCCCAATCTACTGTAATGATTGAATGAATGAATAAATGAATGAATGAATGAATGAATGAATGAATAATTTATTTTATTTCAGACAACTACAAGTCCATATGTGTACATAGTATCATTGAAACATACCTAAAATTAACAGAACCAATCAAATAAAAAATGAATAATGTATGCACGTGCGTATTTGTGCGTCAGGACGTGTCGTTCGTCAGTTGCATGGAGTGCGTGTCGCGCGGCCCGGTGCGCATGCACGTGTCCCGCCCCCCGCGTGCGCCCTCCCCCGCGCACTCCTTCCGCTCGCGGCTCGGGGCCCCACTGCAGCACAAAAAGATCAACCTCGCCGACGAGCTGCTCGCCTGGCACCACGAGAGGTTCAGCATCAGGAGGATGACGGCCTTCACTCTTAGTTCATTGCAGGTTCGTTAAGTTTCATAGTGATTCGCAACTTCGCATGTAGAGGCTGTTAGTATGCTGCAATAGTTTCTTACTGAATATTCTTGTCAAATAAATGTTTTCGGGTCTGGAAGTTTGTTGAAGTGAAAACTTCTTTAGAATCGTTGTGATTTCAAACCGGATGCAACGGAAAAAACGACAGGTAAGAGACACAAATACAAAAATGTGTAGGATGAAGCCAGCAAAGAATGAGACAGAAATGTACATGCTATTTAATACAGCGCCATCTGTGAGATTTTTTAATACTAACGTGTGTATGAAAGCTCTTGTAGTGAATTTGAATTTAGGATTATACGTGAAATTAAAATATCAATTCACAGAGGGCGCTACCTTACAATTATTTACTAATGACAAATTTTTACATATACTTAAGACGTTTAGGATAATTGTATTTTAATTTTGGAAGGTTTCACTTCTACCACGTGTGAATTGCACACATTGTTTTTTTTTTCATTTCAGTTTCGGTCTTAATTTGAGATTTCATTAATCGTCCATGCAGTGGCGGATTAAAGGTCCAGAACGCCTTGCAATCACTTTATCGGCGCCCCTGTACCGGCCATAAATGGCCATCATAATACTATAAATTTTAACTAGTTGTTTTTGCAATTACGATGACGTTGTATCATCAAACCCTAGACTTTAGTAGACCAAGACCCTTGTACTTACGCTAATGCGCGAATGAATTAAGACGTTATAACTGTGACGAAATCAAGAGGGACGACAGAAGATTTAGATTATAGATCAGCATTTAGTTCTTAATCGTCGATATGTTATTTTCTTTATTTATTTAAAAATTCTGAGCTCTCGCGCCCCTTGTTACTACACGCCCCTAGGCACGTGCCTAGTTTGCCTTACGGATAATCCGCCTCGGCGTCCATGACCACTTGTATGTATGTATGTATGATTAGAAATTACACTTAATGAAATCATCTCTCTCTCTCTCTCTCTCTCTCTACAGAGTCACAAAGATTCAGGAAGGAGTACAGTACTGGATACACCGTCTGAAGACAGAATCCAAAATTTAGTATCAAACGTGGCCAGGATAGCACGTGCTCTGGCCTCACATATTTACAACATCACTGATGATGAGAACGATGAGGATGCAGGTTTATATGATGATGTACTGGTATGTAATAAATTTTTATANTCTCTCTCTCTCTCTCTACAGAGTCACAAAGATTCAGGAAGGAGTACAGTACTGGATACACCGTCTGAAGACAGAATCCAAAATTTAGTATCAAACGTGGCCAGGATAGCACGTGCTCTGGCCTCACATATTTACAACATCACTGATGATGAGAACGATGAGGATGCAGGTTTATATGATGATGTACTGGTATGTAATAAATTTTTATAATATACTAGCTGACCCGGCAGACTTCGTAGTGCCTCAATCGATAAATAAAAGACCTAAGCTTTTCTATAAAATAAACTTAAAACAAACAAAAGGAATCCACCCGACGGGGGACACATCAAAGGAAAAACAAAATTGTAATTTTTTTAAATCTTCTCTGGACTTCCACAAATAATTTTAGACCAAAATTAGCCAAATCGGTCCAGCCGTTCTCGAGTTTTAGCGAGACTAACGAACAGCTATTCATTTATATACCTATAGTATATAAGTCGGATTCATTTATATAAGTCGGATTGGTGGCAGGACGTCTTTTATATAATATAATGGAAGATTTTGATTGTTTCTACTGTTCTGAATATTTGATTATATTTCATTATCACGTTCAATGGTATAACTAGATCCTGATAATCGATCAGCGGTAGGCAGCGGCTTGGCTCTGCCCCTGGCATTGCTGAAGTCCATGGGCGACGGTAACCACTCACCAGGTGGGCCGTATGCTCGTCTGCCTACAAGGGCAATAAAAAAAAAAAAGAAAAGAATAGCCAAGTTTGAATCAATGGGTATTTGTTTTCATCTACATGTATATAGTATTTTAGAACAGTAGAAACAATCAAAATCTTCCATTATATTATATAAAAGACGTCCTACCACCAATCCGACTTATTGGCGGGAATTCGCGTAACAAAATGTGGATTGCATTTTTAATTTTTATTAAATTTTTGTATAGCGGCCCGCTCCGGCTCCGCTCCGGTCTTTAACAAAAATTTCAACGATATTTGACGTTGTTTTATGTTTTTAAATAAAAGAACACTTATTGCGGCATAACTATAATAGTTAGACATAATATGCTGTCGCGACACTTTTTGTAAATAATAATGTGTTCTACAAAGTCGTAGTACATTTTTTTATTCTATCATCAATAGTTTTCGCAGAGCACGCGATGTAAAGAATATTTTAGGTAATTTTTTTACACCTTGGGTTACATTATTAGAGTTTGAGTAAGGATCCCTAATTTTTTTCAAAAAAGATTATAGCCTATGTCACTCGGGAATAGTGTAGCTTCCAAACAGTAAGAATTTTTCAAATCGGTTCAGTAGTTTCGGAGCCTATTCAATACAAACAAACAAACAAATCTTTCCTCTTTATAATATTAGTATAGATAATATATATTTTCTTTTACATAATTTATTTTCTTTCAGAATGTAGATGAGGCAGCAATAAGATATTGGTACAATTATTTATCATCTCAATCAAGATCTGCTCACATAGTCACAACATCCCCGAACGGAGGTAAATATACAATTACAATACACACACATAAAACACTGTGTACCTCAGTGGGGATTTTTTTATTACTTAGATGGGTGGACGAGCTCACAGCCCATCTGGTGTTAAGCGGTTAGTGGAGCCCATAGACATCTACAACGTAAATGCGCCACCCACCTTGAGATATAAGTTCTAAAGTCTCAAGTATAGTTACAACGGCTGCCCCGTCCTTCAAACCGAAACGCATTACTGCTTCACGGCAGAAATAGGCAGGGTGGTGGTACCTACCCGCGCGGACTCACAATAGGTCCTACCACCAGTCAAAATGAGTAATAATGAGCACTCCTCTTTTCTAGGTTAGGGTTATGGGTTCGATTTACACATAGGGTAAACAATTCTAAGACGAATAATTGTTAGCGCTTAGTCCAGGTATTTTGTATATAAATATTAATGTGCATATTTTAACATTTAGACATTTATGCATATCAGTGTCAAGTTCTCGGAGTACAGGGAATCCTAGTTCTAGGACCAGATTAATGTGTCATTTGTCCTCGATTATCTATTTATCATTATTTATGTTTATCAAAATAATGTTGCTATATTCTTAAACTCAAAATATTGATATAGGGTTCCAAAATGAAGTGTGAAGTGAATGTGTCAGCCTGCCTTTAAAAATAATTATTGTCCCTTTTTATTGATATTTATATCGATAAATCTTGTCTATTTACCAAGATTCCACAAGTATCTTTGAGATTTTTAAGTTCTGTTTAAAGAGTTCTTCTGATTGGAAGCTGGCCTCATTCATACTTCATTTGTTATGTCGATTTAATGTTATCCTTTTTTTTTAATGGATTTTATGACCTGGTAACTAAGACCTTTAGGTCAATTCTTATTTTAATCTTAATTCTTATTTTTATGAAAAATGATAATATGGAGTGAAATGAAATGAAGATGATTAATTTGAGACATTAATCAACTGGAATGAAATTAAATGAAATGAGATGAGATGATATGGAATGAACTATAATCTCAGTAAAATGGTGGTCATTTACTAAGATTTTTTCAGTGGACTTTTGGAGGATCCCGAGAAGTTACGTCCAGCGGCTTTGTTTCATTTTCCCACATTAGTGCACTTTCACAGAAATTAAACAGTTAATAAACCACCGTTATTACACAATTAAACCTGAAGAAACACGAAATAGGCAAAATAAAACAAATCACACAACTTCACCCCTCACGCTCCCGCCAAAAAGTCCAATGCTGTGCTTTGTTTTCAGGTGTGACCGGAGCATTAGAAAGAGTATTGTCTAGATACATGGAGGTTACCGTGAGCACACACGCCGTCGATAAACGAGAGCCTGAGTATACTCTGTACTCACCCACTAGCGCCACCTTGTACGTTTACAGGTGAGTTTGTTTTATTGATTAGCCGACAGATTTTTTCCCTACCTAATTCGTTGGTAGCTAAGCTATTCTTACTACGCGCAGATGGCTAGGTGAGCTCACGGGCACATCCCGGATCGGAATCGCTCACATGATGATCAGTTGAGTCCGAGTATAGGAATTATTCATACAGTATCTGACATTTATGACTTTCAGAAAAAGTATGAATTTGGAGTGAAATTGCAATGGTAAAGCGGCAAATTAACGATTATAAATGACATTTATCCTGCCAAAGACAAAATGGCAGTGATTCATACAAAAAAAATATCAAAATATTCGAGAAAATGCAAAAAAAATTGTTCTTGCAACACTGTACTTAAAACTATATAAGTGTTATATGAATAATATTTATGTGGTAATGTACCTTCCGGTAGAAACAAGGTGATTAATTTAACGGCACGTAAATTGAGATAAAAAAGATAAAGAAACTTTCATTGTACTTGTATTGAAGCAAGATTAAAGTGTTTTTTTTTTCTATTTCTTTCAGCGTTAAGCCGGCGGTCTTCGATCTCATTCTAACATTAGCAATAGTTTGTTATTTAGCTGTAGTTTATTTCGCGATACAAGCCTTCCCGCGTTTCTACGAAGAATACGCGAAGATCGTTACGGGCAAGACCAAAGTACAATAGAGAGTTGTTACGTTACTGTGTGGGAAGGGAACGCTTACAAAGACAGCTAGCTATACACTCGTTCTCCGTAGTAACTTCTATTTTTTTTAACTGAAAAGGCAAAGGTATCATACCATACAGCCTGATCCTTTTTTTTATGAGAAATCATAATATGAAGTCAAATGAAATGATTGATTAATTTTACATTAATTTTCATTAATCAATTGGCATGAAATAAGATGTGGTGATATGGGATGAAAAAAATCTCAGTAAAAAGGTGGTTGCTTACTGAGACTTTCAGTGGACTTTTTGGAGGAACTCGAGAAGCTACGTCCAGCGGCTTTGTTTCATTTTTCTACATTTGTGCACATTCACAGATACTAAACAGTTAATGAACTACCGTTATTACACATTTAAACCTAAAGAAATACTAAATAGACTAAATAAAACGATTCACACGACTTCGCTCCTCGCGTTACCGCCAAAAAGTCACACTGGTTCTCAATATTTCTTGTTGCAATTCAATTTGACATTAGCTGTCATTCGCATCTGTCAACGCGATTTGAATTGTCAAATTCGAATGACACTGCCGAAGGGGTCGTTTGACATAAGTCATAAATATTAAGTCCGTTTTACTGAAGTAATTGTTAAGTTTAAATGTGGTATTTCAAAAGAATGTATTATGTAAAATGATCTAAAAATATTCCCGCACAGTGAAAGTGAATAATAATTTATTTGTATTGTAAATGTTGTACATCGATTATTTATAGATGCAATGAAGAAAACGGATACATGCCAAGTTGAGTTTTATGTAATAGTGCATAAGTTCGATTGTCATTCTTGAATGCATATACTAGCAGTTTGCTTTAATATTGTAATGTGTAAATAATGATCAATCACTGTCATTTATCGAACTCCGAGACAGTATTGTGCTTCAATGGAAATGTTATTGAGAGAAATCGTCGTCCCAAAATTATTTCGCATTAACTTGATTATTGGACAACACTAAATCGATATTAAAATATATCGATTAAGAAACCCGCTCACTCATGGTCCATGGTTTTGTATGGAATATTTGAAAACTAAAAATCAATAAGCTCGTCTCGGAGTTTGAGACAAAACTGCTCCCACACTTACATCCAGTTCTATATTTATCTTTTGTGTTTTTGTTGAACGAACATTGACGTATCCAGTACTTTAATTCGTTGTTCTCACAAAGGATTCAATTGAAAAAAAAAAGCGGTTTAATGTCGCTTCCAGTGTTATTTGTAGCGGTTAAGTTCTTCGGTTAAGGGTAGCGCCGTAGTATCAATCGATACTTATTTGAACACATATCAAGAAAAATTATTAGCCAAGGCTGTATGTTCAAATCCACTATGGATCTATTAGCTTCAAATCGTTGATTTTCATTCTATAAATTCTCCATTTTCGAATCCTTCGCTTGTCATTAATAATGACATTGTTCTCTTGGGTATCTCGAAGTTTATATCCTCAGGGATCTTGCTGAGCATATTACTGGTGGTAGGACCTCTTGTGAGTCCGCACGGGTAGTTACCACCGCCCTGCTTATTTCTGCCGTGAAGCAGTAATGCGTTTCGGTTTGAAGGGTGCGGCAGTCGTTGTATCCATATTGCGACCTTAGAACTTATATCTCAAGGTGAGTGGCGGCATTTACGTTGTAGATGTCTATGGGCTCCTGTTACCACTTAACACCCGGTGGGCTGTGAGCTCGTCCACACATGTAAGCAATAAAAAAAACTATCAAATCGTAGCTAAGTCAATAGTTTTGTTTCTGGTCATACCACTGCTAAATATACTTGTGTTATCACACGAAATGCACCAAAGCGACATTTTGTTTTGAACAATAAAACGTACATATAATGTTTTGGTTTACGGTTTTGAATTTATAACGGTTTTTATAAGAGTTTAAAAAAGTACATTGTTATTTATTTAAGTGTTTATTTTAGAAATTTCGGGAAGAAATAAAACCCGACTTCAAATCGTTCAAGATAAATACATACGTACAAATTATTTATCTTGATTTCAAAACTATTATGATTTATTTTACAGTTTCGAATATTCCTTTTTCCGCGTTCACGGACGAAAACGTTCTTGACACGCAATTTTTGCTTTTAAAAATTACTTTAATCTCCAATTACTATAATAGAAAAAAAAAAAAAACAATCGAACTGGCAACATAAAATTCAATGTTGCCAGTAAAAAGTCTAACATGATAACTATGTAAAAGACGTTTGTTATGTATTTAAATTATAAAAAAAAGGTAATATATATATTAAAAAAAAGATTCAGAAAGCAATAATTGATTCCGTTTTTATTGAACTTTGAGAGTGTGTAAGTTAATGTATGAGAGTTCGAATTATTATTCCATTACCGGCTGCATAGGTTTTTGTGGGTATATACACATATATTTTTATTTTATAAACAATATGCTCGAACAAATATAAAGGTTTTAGATTCATATTCTCCACTAGTTCATTTATAATTAGTTAAGGAACGGGATTGTATTTGGTGGATTAAAAAAGAACATTGGACAAAGTGTAGCTGATTTCACAAATACTCAGATTAAATGATTTGTCAATAATTATGAAATTTCACATTTTTAGGGTTTTATTTATTTATTTATATCGTAAGACTTATGAAGAAAGACAGACCGATGATGTTTGAATTTGTTAAAATTCGCGTACAGAACCCTGATTGGTTTGAATATAATATAATAATAAATTAGAAATTTATAATGATTTTTTTCTGGTTGTTGCGAGCCGTTTCGAGGCGCCTCACAAACTAGCACTTCTGTTTTACATAACAAGTGTACCCTATCCGATGTAGAAACGCGACTAAATCTTCAATATCATGTCTAAATGTGGAGACATCCACGCGGTCGATTCCGGTCGCCACCTGACTTCAGTGTGCTTAGTGCGAGTTTTTTAACGTACTCGATAGCGTAAAAGTTAACTAAATTTGTATGCAGTTGAAACAGCGCCCCTAGCGGCAAACATAGGCAAATATGAGCTAACTTTGACGCTGTCGAGAACGTTAAAAATCTCCCACTAAGCACACGGATGGGCTGTGAGCTCAGCCTTCTAACTATTATTTTAATCTAACCAAATTGCCGTTACAACGTTAATAAATTTTATGCATTTGTTGAGATACAAGAGTACCTTTTACGAGTCATTCTACCACTTAATTTTTAACCGTCCCAATATATATATATATTAATAATTCCTTCCGTATTTAAGTTCGTTCTTTAGATAAATTCAGTCGCCGTTGCACTTTAAAACATTAAGAGAAATAACCTTTTAAAGAAAATAATACGTGTACCGTTCTAATAAAAGCTGATTTTGCGTTTGAATCGCGCGTTTATTTCTTACATATTAATACTTCAATCGCCCGTGACCCAGTGATGGGCAAAAAGTAATCAGATCAGTAATAATTACAAATTACAGTTACATTTTAATTGGTAATTGAGATACTTTGTTAATAGTTGTAGTTTAATTACTAATAGCGACCCGCCCTCGCTTCGCTTCGGAAACACTAAAACACACATGAAACCAAAAAAAAAAAATAAAAAAAAAATAAAAAAAAGTAGCCTATGTTCATCAGGGACAATGTCGGCTTCTAATGGAAAAATAATTTTTCAAATCGGTCCAGTAGTTTCGGAGCCTATTCGAAACAAACAAACAAACAAATCTTTCCTCTTTATAATATTAGTATAGATTAGAATACAAAAGTAACTAGTTACGCCCATCACTGCCGTGACCACGGTAGTTTGTAACGTGTTCGAGAAAACTCTCAAATAATAAATATTAATTTATGAAATTAGTATCATGTCTACAATTCGGAAATACCGAAAAAAGAAAGTATATTGTAATTTATTGTGTTGTAAATAAACAAATAAATAAAATAAAAACGGCTGGATTTAAAGAAATAATTTCGATGCCTCCAATGAACACTACGCTAACTCCAAATTCGTAGGTTTACAGGAGGAGCGTTTAAACGAAAACAAGTTGATAAATATAACTGCAATAATAAAGATTTTATGTTTTTTTCTTGTGTAACTAGCTGATTTACTCTTGCTTCGAACCCCATCAATAATGATTAATTGTAATACTTTTAAAATAGTGAAGCGATTTGCGTGAAAAACGAAAATTTCAATATTTTGAGTTAGAGTAGTGTTCATTGGAGGCATCGATTTGAAATGGTAATTAATAAATGCTACCGTTCTGTTTCATTATTGAAAAGTGAAAAAAGCTTAGCGGTGAATTTAACACACAGTTATTTTGGATGAACTTGCTTTTTTATAAGGATTTTATAACAGGTGTACTCTGAAATAGTTCAGTTTGTATTTTGAACTCTAGAAAATATGGTTTAAAACTGTCGCTTTCATTACACAGGCTGATGGGGACTGGTGTGGTTTACGATTTCACCACACTGAATTCGATAATCTGAGTTATAATACCACGATTTTCGCATATATACAGTTATACAATCAGCTAAGTTTGGCTTCGTAAAGCGTCATCTTTGTCGCACGAAACACTAACGGTGTGCTTAGTGCGAGTTTTTTAAAGTTCTCGATAACGTAAAAGTTAACTTAAGTTTGTATGGGGAACGTTTGCCTACGTTTGCCGCTAGGGACGCTTTTCTAACTGCATCGTGTAATAAAAGTGAAACCCGCAAAATTATAATTTGCGTAATTACTGGTGGTGATAGGACCTGTTGTGAGTCCGCACGGGTAGGTACCACCACCCCGCCTATTTCTGCCGTGAAGCAGTAATGCGTTTCGGTTTGAAGGGTGGGGCAGCCGTTGTAACTATACTGAGACCTTACAACTTATATCTCAAGGTGGGTGGCGCATTTACGTCGTTGATGTCTATGGGCTCCAGTAACCACTTAACACCAGGTGGGCTGTGAGCTCGTCCAACCATCTTAAGCAATAAAAAAAAGTGTGTGTGTCCGCTCCGACGCACGACTGGAGTTTACTGGATATAAAAAATTAAACGAAACAATACGAGAAATAGTTCTATATTACGACAACACGATACACTACAGATTATTAACAAATTAACGAGACACAAAACAAACGACTAACAAATATATGAAAATACAATAATGAGAGAAACGCGCGATCAGTACGAGGCTTTGTGGCGGACTGCCGGCGCAGCAGCCCGGCGTCACCTGCGATAACGCGGCCGCGCGTTGGCTCCTGATTGGCGCGCGCACGCATCACGCAATCAGGAGCCAATCAGGCGCATAACGCATTTCGTGTGACATGCTAGTACGATTTTGGTCCCCATAATTTTCATACCCCGGGCCTATATATGTAAATCGATTCTAAAGGAGTAAACTCCAAAAATGCGTACAAATTTCAGATAACTTTTACGTTATCGAGAACGTTAAAAACTCGCACTAAGAGATTGTACACAAAACTGCGATGCGACGTTGTATGGTCAAAATCTACGAGCTCCCACGACGCATCGCAAGAACTTGCGAATTGATTCGCATCGCGCATTCCTGCGATGCTAAAAGATTGTGAAATTCAACGCCAAATGTGGAAGGGAAACGCCTTGCCGCACGAAATCGCACTGCAGAAATTCGTGTCGCATTTCAGTCGACTATTATCAAAGCCGGCAATGTGACTTTTGGACAATTATTGGTAAACCAGAAAAACGAATTATTGACTTTGTATTCCATTGGCAGTCACAAAACTCTTCTGAACGACATCTTAGATAAATAACAGGTTAAGTATTAACCTTTATTTAATGCAGGTTTTGAACCGTATTCTTTGAAGGAGACGATTATATTCAAATCAATCTGTATTGACATATCAATAACATTTTTTTGTCCAAATGCACAGATTGCCACCTTTTATAATAGACGACTCATTTATGTGTGTTGCAAATTCGCATCGCGCTGATTCAGAGTTTTGTGTACAAACCCTAAGCAGCGCACTCAAACAACGACGGACACACGTCACACGGGTAGACTTGAGTGCGACAGAGACAGCGCTCTACGAAACCGAAATTAGCCGATTGTCTCTTTTCAAAAGTCGATGTGCAGTCTACCGCCGGGTACTGCATTTAAGTTATGCTATATAACCTATAAGCTATGAATAGTTGTTATTTTTGTGTATAATATTAACGAATACCAATTTAATTCTGTACATTGATAAATAAATGCTAAAGGTTTAATATTAATAAAAAGGCGTTACGTATAGTTTTTTTTTATGAATATTTTATTCTCGGAAACTCAAGTATATTACAGCTATTAGGTATATATCACATATCTAGCAAATAGCAAAAAGCAAGTTCAATCAGAGAACAAACTAGTTTTGTTTTAAGTGTAAATGGTGAATAATGCGTGGAATTGAGATAATAAAAATGTTTAAAAAAAAAAACATTATTATTTTTATTTACCTTGGGAGTAATGGGAATGGCTTTTTCTCTGGTTGGTGGGGAACCTACTGCAAAGTTCCCGCGTCTGAGGGAGTACGCGGCATATGTGGAACTCTGGCCACATGATACAGACCTACCCAATAAACAACTACCCTGCATCCTTGCTCGACTCCCGATCCTCGCCAGAGATAGAATCCGGACAAGGTAAGGGTCAACATTACAATTACTATTGTTGATCGAAGTTACAATTACAAATGAATATTAAGCCCCAGAAATTATCAGAACTTCATTAGTTCTCATAACCGAAATGAGGACATTTTTATTTATTACTACCTGACCCGGCAGACTTCGTAATGCCTCATTCGATAAATAAAAGACCTAAGCTTTAGTATAAAATAAACTTAAAACTAACAAAAGGAATCCGTCCGACGGGGGACACATCAAAGGAAAAACAAAATTGTTATTTTTATTTATTTCCGAGCATTTTCATATTTATCTACCTTTTAAGCCTTCTCTGGACTTCCATAAATAATTTAAGACCAAAATTAGCCAGATCGGTCCTGCCGTTCTCGAGTTTTAGCGAGACTAACGAACAGCAACTCATTTTTATATATATATATAGATAAACTCTATTGAAACTTTAATAATATGTTTTTGGTAAGTACTTGGATTGTTGTTTTAGTCGAAGGAAGAATAGAAGACACGTAGGTATAACATAGGCCTTCATATCTGCCAGATTTAGGTACGTTGCAACATTGAATCTAATGTAACGGATGAATTATGATTAATAATTGTTCTAAATTACGTTCAATGAATTACGATTGTTTTTTTTTATTGCTTAGATGGGTGGACGAGCTCACAGCCCACCTGGTGTTAAGTGGTTACTGGAGCCCATAGACATCCACAACGTAAATGCGCCACCCACCTTGAGATAAAAGTTCTAAGGTCTCAAGTATAGTTACAACGGCTGCCCCACCCTTCAAACCGAAACGCATTACTGCTTCACGGCACAAATAGGCAGGGCGGTGGTACCCACCCGCGCGGACTCACAAGAGGTCCTACCACCAGTAAATACCTACCACCAGTTTATAGTATATTATCTATGTTAAGTTATAGTGATTAATCTATGGTAGTAGTAGTAGTTTTATTTATCCAAATGGAAAGGCAAAGGTGTCGTACCATACAGCCTAATCTTTTATACATATTTTTTTATTTTATGAAATATGATACTATGAAATGAAATGAAGATGATTAATTTGAGACATCAATCAACTGGGATGAAATTAAATTAAATGAAATGAGATGATATGGGATGAAATATAATCTCAGTAAAATGGTGGTCGTTTATTGAGATTTTTTCTATTGACTTTTTGGAGGATCCCGAGAAGTTACGTCGAACAGCTTTGTTTCATTTTCCCACATTCGTGCACTTTCACAGATATTAAACAGTTATTAAACCACCCATAATCTATGGAAACATTCTTGGCAGTATGTATCACTACAGATAATTAATTATATAGCAGGTATTAAACTGGTGTTTGAGCACAACATACTGAACTCGTCATTGGTCTAAAGTGAAGGACAGCTGTGTGCTTAGTGCGAGTTTTGTAACGTTCTCACTAGCGAGCCAGTTTGCTCAAATTTGTATGCAATTGGAACAGCGCCCCTAGCGGCAAACGTACTCGGTGTTATTTTGTGAGTGCGAGTTCATATTAACGTTGTGATCTCGTAACCGAGTAATTTTACCGAAATGAGTACTACGAATGACATTTGTGCGAGTGCGTGTTACNAGAATAGATAAAACCTTAAAAAACAACATTATTATTAAAAACGAAAGAAAAAATCTTGATATTGTATTGGTTTCACGGCAAAATTTTTAGTGACTACTTAACTTGCTTGAAAGTGAAGAAATACTCTCAAAATCCATTAATTTGCAACTCGCACTCGCACATACAATAATCGAGAGGCTCACTTCGGTAAAGCTATTCGATACACGAGACAGCAACATAAACAAACCTTCTCTCTCCCACAAAATGAGATTCATAAGCTTACCACTAGGTGGCACTGATACAACCTCACACAAATTAAACATATCATTAACATCGACTGAGTAATTAAAAAAACTCGCACTAAGCACAGGTACATTACCCATTACTCGAATAATTATAAATATCGTTAGAAAGCCTGGCATTTCAATTAAACGCCTTAAAAAAACCCTTGCGTGCTACCAATATAAAAGAAAAAAAATATCGCTTCTCAAGATGAATAAACGTCCTGCAAATCGAGTAACTCGCACTCAGAGCTCCGCACGTTTCACCGTGAAGAGCGTACACTCGATGCGAGTCAATCGATTCCATTTTTGAAACTCGCACTAAGCCTACTGATATACAAAGTACTTGAGACCTCATGTCTCAAGGTGAGTGGCGATTTTCACTTTGTAGTCTATATTTATATATTCCTGAGTTCGTTTTACACATATTAACATATAAACTTTAATTACATTAAACTTACAGATAAAATATTATATTCCAAAGAAAACAAAAAAACAAATACAAAATTTAACAAAACTTTATTTCAAATATTAATTACAAATACCGTGATGTTTTCATAAACAAAGTAAATAATAATTTATTTTGTAAAAACTATAACTTGTCATTAAAGCTACCTTATGAAAATAGAAATTAAGATGTAGGATATCGCTCGACAAAAATATTTAGCTTCAATACATTTAGTGCCCCGGAATAGACTCCAACGAATCCAATATCAAGTACAATTAGATAATATAGAGATTTTGTTCATATAAAATAATAATGTGTATATACTATAATAATAGTTTTGTTATCCGCGCTAGTAATAACTGTATGTAAATATTATTTATGGCAACGGCAATTCTTGCAAAAAATACTGTGTTTATAAACATAATATGTATTTTTGTCGTTTGTCGTACTTTGATGGAATAAAACCTTCTCTATAAGATCAAATAAGTATTGTTTCCAATTAATTACAAAAACAAAGAAATCGATAAATAGGTTTTTTTTTTTAAATTGAAAACTCCTTTAACTTTCGCCTTAATCCTCGTTCAAAAATTTTAACAGAATGACACTTAAAATATCAATCCAAGTTTTGGCAGACATCAAAGCAATTAAAAAACTTGCGTTTTGTTTTTTTGTTTATGTGATCTTAAAATGATTTAGAGCTTTCCTTTAGCATATTAATTCGAGGTAAGTTTTAAAACTTTTTAGAAGAATTACAGAAGATAAGATGAATAACAATTTTAGGAGTCAAAATTCGTCAATTCTAAATGCTGCGTTTTGTTTTTATGTAACAATTTTTTGATAAACAGTCACGTATCTTGAGGTTGTAACTGTATTTACACTAAAACTATTTTGTTCTGAGATACGTAAATTATGTGACTATATATTTAAAATACGATGACTTAGCTTAACACGAAAATTTACCTTTTAATTTATCTTTAAGGTAAAATATGGCCGCTGTACTTATTACCTAAATTCTTATTATAGTCCGTCCGCTGTAAGAATGCGTAAGTGATTGAGAAGTCGATGTATGAATTCGTTGTCAGTTTACCCTTCGAGCACTTCCGTGGTGGCGGCTCCGTTGATGTCCTTCAGCTCGTTCGACTTGAATGTGGCCACGAAACTGATATTACCCAGTTTCTGTAACGTTAACGGGTAATGTATTTTAAATAAGTATTATATATATATATATCGCGTGGTTTTTGTATTTTTTCTATTAAAGTTCAATAGTTACGTAGTCCTCGTTCACAAAGAGCATCGTGTAATTAAAACTAAAGAAGAGCTTCAAAATTATTTTTTTGTTAACAGAGCGTATTGAGAGCATGGCGCTATTATTTTTCATAGCAATTTTCTTTCTACGTAATCATTGGTAGCTTCAAGGGGATATTCTGGTTTCACTGAAGCTTCACCTAGATAGACGAGCTCACGGGGCTCAGCCTAATAAAATTGCCAACTTCTCCCCTAGCAAGAGCTGTGCTTTGTTGAATCTGCCACCGGATCAGAATCGCAACCCACTCAAAAGATCCCGTGAGGAATTCAGTGAGTTGGATCTACCGTTTGTGTCTATGTGACAATCATTGTTCAAATGTATATTCTTTAAATATACCGGAAGAATATGTATTGTTTTCATAATGGAGAGTGTATCAAAATTTTACGTATTGAACAAAACAGCACACACATGGACAGACAAAAATAGCGACTTTTTTATATTAGTAATTAGTGCTGGTAGTGGTTTATCCCACTGAGTTTCTCGCCGGATCTTTTCAGTGGGTCGCGTTTCCGATCGGATGGTAGATTCTACGAAGCACTGCGCTTGTTAGGGCTAGTGTTAGCAACGTCTCCCGGCTTAAGTTCCGTGAGCTCACCTCCTCGAGGTCACTAGAATAGGTAGGAAAAAAGGTGGCTTAATTAGATACATACGTTAGGTTGAATAGGTAGTTCAACGGTGAGTAGTCCTTCAGGAGCGACGTCCGCGGCGGGAACGCGCAGGGCACGACCCGCGATTCCCGATGACGTCACGCGGAACTCGCACCCACTCAGCGTACTGTTCAGAGGGTTCAAAAGCGACAGTTCCACTGTTGCCGGCTGCCCGATGATCAGGTCGTCTTTGAACTGCGGAAACGTTGGTTGTGATTACAACTGACAAGTGAGACAGGCAGCGGCTTGGCTCTGTCCCTGGCATTGCTGACGTCTATGGGCGACGGTAACCACTCAACACCAGGTGGGCCGTATGCTCGTCTGCCTACCAAGGCAATAAAAATGAGGTCTCGGATTTTTTCCCCCCACTAAAACTGTAATCTTTTTTTCTGTGCCACACTGACTATAATTAATAACTTTGCAGCAGAAACGTAGTCGTATCTGTTTACTCTTTCGCACTTAAACAACAGACATTCTGTCCGTTTCATTCGCACATGAATCTGCCTTGCCATTTTACAATACCGGTCATTTGAATCGTAATATAGGTATAATATGGCTGACATTACATTCTAAATTCAAATGAATTTTATGTGGAATTCCAGTGTCAAGTTTAGTCATTTGCTTATTAATTAGAGTTTCTTTTCACTACATTCTTTTTCATTATTGGAATGGACACGATATAAATATGTTTATTTATGGAATGCGTATTCCGTCGTGGTAAAAATGCCGCGCAAACAGCTCATAACATTAATGACGTATTATTAGTTTGACGTTTGACGTTATTATTGGTTTGAACGCTTCCAAGATGCAAAATTTTAATCTAATCGCCTGAAAACTAAAGTCTACAACGACAAATTAAAGGCGATAGTGGAAACTGACGATACTCAATCTATCACTGAGCTAGCAGCAACTTTTAGTGTTAGTATCTAAATTTTCTGTATACTAAGAAATTTTGTAGGCAAATACCATAACTTAATCTATACTAATTTAAAAATCTACCGTGGTTTTTACGGATGTTCCGTTATAACTACTGAACCATGCATAGATTGACTTAAAACTTGGTACCTATGTAGAAAATACATGTATTTAATGGATAGGCTAATATTTATATGAGTGTTGGACTCCCTAATAATGATGACAATAAATAGTAATGTTAATTTTAAATGCCCAGCGAAGCGGGCGAGTACGGCTAGTAACTAATATAACTTAACGCTTGTTTAAGACTGTTTTCGTGTCTCGTTTGTACCTTAATGTTAATGTTCGGTTTGAGGATCTGGAAGTCGTCGTCGTCAGCCCAGGACTGCTTCGTTTCATCGACAATGGCCATCGCAGATATCTTGATGTTCCCGTACTCGACCAGCTTCGGCAAATAGTCCTCTACTTTCACCACGAGGCTGACTTCTTCGTCTAATGAGAGTGGGTTCGAAAAAGTAAAAAATAGGTTCAAGAAAATTACATTACACTAAGTTAGGTTATCAGGTCCTGTGAGGTGTGGCCTATGGAAGTCTAAGTGCTTTGTCTAATGGTACAACCATGTTTCGAATCGGAATGTATTATATTTTGTGGCAGTATGGTTGCGAATACCGGTGCGCTCAATACGACAAAAAAAGTGGGTATTGTGAGCTTCAACGGGCTCGGACATAGTACACTCATAGTATTACATACTCATACATATAAAAAATAAACAATAAACACTATAAAATACACTAAATTTATAAGACGGAAGACTCAAACTTCTTATCTAGCACGAAGTAAATATTCATTTCGGTTTATATACAATACGTTACGTTGTGGCCTATGGTAAAAAGCATATTATTAGGTATCAAAAAATATAGGATTGAAATTTTATTTATTAGTATTTTTATCGATTATCGTAAGACGTACACTCAATTAAAACTACTCTTACAATTTAATCCCCCTAAATTGTAGATCTTGGGTTTTACTGTCATTTTTTATATCTCGAATTGTTTATGACAATATAAAAAAAAAATTCAAACGCTGTAAGAATCGCCACGAAAGAGATTCGTAAGAAAAGAAAAACATTACAAATTATATTATTTCGGACGTTTCTTTACAATTATGTCACTTTACAATAATAATTTACGTGGTAGCAGCGGATGAGAGAGATTTTCTAACTACCTACCGTTTATTTTCTTTAACAGACTATTTCTAAATTTTGTCGCGTTACATTTGACGCAAAACGAAAAAAAAAGTAACTCACTTTTCTGTGGCCCAACGTAGAGTTTTCCTTCGATTTTTTTGATGATGTCAAATTTAACTCCGTTGTAGTAGAAACTCGATGCGCTCAATGATGCCTTTATGTTACGTCCCTTTAAAAAACATAATAGTTGAAAGACTAATTAGACTGATCCGGTGATGCAGGATTTGGCACACCTAACTGTTGTGCTGTGGGTCGGGGGCTCGATACCCACACGAGCAAATATTCGTCTGATAGACAGGTTTGTTTAGTCTTTGGCTGGATGTTTATTATCTATATACGTATATATTTAAACGTATTTAAGTTTGTATGTCATTCACTGGTACCCTAACTTAATTTGGGATCGGCTAACCGTGTGTTATTTGTAACCAATTATTTATTATTATCGTTATGATAAGATATTATCTTGGTTTATTCTCAAGAATAAATATGGGTATGTAGAAATTAATTTTTGGTTTTATCAACTCTTTACAGATATTATATAGAATATTAATGCAATCAATACTTATGTCTTGACTGTGTAATGATCACCGTGTGTAGTTCACCAGTTCTTTGGTGTCCCAGTGGAATGAGTTTTTTTAATCCTAATTCTGTGATTGCTGGTTTTTAAAATTTGTATTGGCTCAGTGAATAACGCACATGCAAATTACTTTGAGACGAGAATTCGACCTATGAATTGTGCCGTATCTATAAAAATATTATAAAGCTGAAGAGTTTGTTTGTTTGTTTGAACGCGCTAATCTCAGGAACTACTGGTTCGATTTGAAAAATTCCTTCAGTGTTAGGTAGTCCATTTATTGACGAAGGCTATTTCGAGATATATTATTCGAGACGTCTACCCTTTCGAACAAAAAATAGAAAAGAGAATTATCAGAATCGGTTCCGCATTCTCGAGAAATCCGTGAACATACATAGATAAAAAATAATGGTCGAATTGACAGCCTCCTCTTTTGAAGTCTGCTAAAAAGTGTAATTTTGGTACCTTAAATAACTCCTTAACATTATATTATTCAAAAATATTTTCACTTTCTACGTAAATGAAGTCGCGGGTAAAATTCAGGGTTATGCCAAAGTAACTATTCCACGCGGACGAAGTCGCGGGCAAAAGCTAGTTTATAATACAGTAGTTCACAATTACCTGATCCGAAACATTCTTGATGTCGATTGTGACCTTGAAGTCTTTGCCGATGGAAACCAAATCTATGTCTCTTAGTATGAAGGTCACGTCCGTCTGTAAGTTGCTCACCACTGAGTAGTACCTGAGAAATGTATTGATTAAATTTAAATTTATACCTTAAGTGTTTGGAATTAATTACGAGCTGGATCCCATGTAGGTACTACAGATATTTCCTTGATGTATTTTTTTTATTTTAAGCCCTCCCTTTACCTTTTCATCCATTTTTTTTCAGTAAGATTTTTGACGCAATTTGCGAGCATTGTCGTCTAGACGACACTTTGAGCTTAAGGGAAATAGACATATTTTATTTAATAAATTTTACATAAATATTATAATATTGTAAGTATTTTTTGTCTTTTGTTGCTCTTTCACGTCGCGTCGATACGATGCAAAGGATCGGACAGATATTTTTAAAATGTCAGTATAAGATCAGGAGAGTGACATAGGCTACATTTTATCCTGAAAAAACATCTTATTCCCGCGTTTTGTTATCTTTAAAAAAAATACTCGATTTCGTCCGTTTAAGTTTGAAGATTAAATTGTGACCAGATTTATGCGTATTGGGTCCGCAGAACTTAAGTATTTGGGTTGCTTTTATAGTGGTCACGAATTGTATAGTATTAAAATAGTAATACTTAGTCATTGGCGCTTTTCCTTGACCAGGCGATGCCGCGGGTAAAAGCTAGTCTTTATAATAAGAATTTTGGTTAAAGAATTTCGGTAAATGAAAACGATTTCAAACTTTACCGCTATTTAACGCAAAACATTCAGTTTTGAATAGTGCAGAGCCGGCAATATTAGATTTATTGAGAGATGTATGCCTCTTATTTCAATAAGACGTCTTCTTGTTTAAAAATAAATTGGTTGCCTGTAAAGTCTGTTTACGGACGATAGTTATACGTGATAACGTCAGTAGCAGAACTATTCGAACTGCTAGCTCTGACCTCACGCGAGAAGAGAGATAAATGTGTCACAAGCCAACGCTTGGGCCGATCGTGCCTCTCTATCGCTTGTTCCGTGCTCTCGTTTGCACGCTCAGGCGGAACGTGACACTTTTTCGCGCGTGCAGCCGGCGTTTATTGATTTATAAAACCTTATTAAACATAAATCATGGCTCCGGAATATCCGGGAGTGGACCGGTATTGCCTCCATCGAACAGCTGTTCCGGCTGGCTGCAGATAAAAACGAATATAGAAACCTAACGGCCAACCTTCAGGATTGAAGAGGCACTGGAAGAAGAAGAAGAATTAAACATAAAGAAAAACTCTTATAAGTGAAAACATGAATTACCTCTTCGCTCTCTCCGAATATCTGACTCCGTTCATCAGGGCCAGCCTCTCTGAAGCCGTGCCTTCTTTGTATTTGTACTGGCTGGTGATGTCTTCGCGATCTTCGTCGCCGATCGGGTCAAACACGAACGGCTTCTTCGTCAGCACCATACGGCCAATGCTGCGAAATGGAATATGTGGAAATGGTGTTTTTTTTGGGGAACCTTTTACGTCCTAATATCTATAGACTCTGGTAATCGCTTTTTTTTATTGCATAGATGGGTGGACGAGCTCACAGCCCACCTGGTGTTAAGTGGTTACTGGATTCCATAGACATCTACAACGTAAATGCCGCCACCCACCTTGAGATATGAATTCTAAGGTCTCAGTATAGTTACAACGGCTGCCCCACCCTTTAAACTGAAACGCATTACTGCTTCACAGCATAAATAGGCAGGGTGGTGGTATCTACCCGTGTCGACTCATAAGAGGTCCTACCTTAACGTAAGGTGGGCCGTGAATTCGTCCAACCGCCGAATGCTAGAAAACAAGCTTTTAAATCAAACTGACTGGAAATTTTAATGATTGCTACTCAAGTTAATAATTACTGGTACAAAGTTAATTTACTTGGTGGTATCGCGTCATGTGATCCCGCACGGGTGGGTACCACGATCCTGCCTATTTCTGCCGCGCGTGGCAGCCGTCGGGCTATAAATCTGAGACCTAGAACTGATGTTTCAAAGTGGCTGGCGTTATATACGTTGCTGATGTCCATGGGCTCCGGTAACCAGATGGGTCACGAGCTCGAATAACAAAATGAGACGTACTGATAATTATTAGTGTCCACCATGGAGAATCCAGTCTCAGCCTCGGGGTCCTTCCTCCAGCGCATGAGATCAGCATTGACAGAAGCCAGCATGAAGTCGACGTCATACGATAAACCGATGACCCCTTGCTTGATGGCTTCCAAAGGTGCTGGGCCGCATTGGTACTGGCCTTGTGACGTCTCCTGGGGAGTCGCGTCAATGGCCTGCCATCCGCCATAACCTGGGAAAAAAAAGTTACCCTGAAGCTCAGCTTTTTGATACTGTATTTATCTAATAGAAGAACATTTTACTGGTGGTAGGACGTCTTGTGAGTCGTACGGGTAGGTACCACCACCCTGCCTATTTATGCCATGAAGCATTAATGTGTTTCGGTTTGAAGGGCGGGGCAACCGTTGTAACTATACTGAGACCTTAACTTATATCTCAAAGTGGGTGGCAGCATTTACACCACTTAACACCAGGTGGGCTGTGAGTTATTTATGTCATCATCTATGTTATCTATGCAATAAACAAAAAAAAAAGAATGCACATAGATACCGAGTCGTAACGTCACCACTACCATACGAAATTAGGAAAGTGTTTTTTCAAGCTGTCTATAAAATTATAGATAACTAGAGGTCCCGCAGTAGTCGAAATTCGACTATAATTAATTAGAATTGTAAGTTTGTACACTATTATGATTGTATTTTATACTTCTATAATCACAAATTTCGCCAAGACTACACTATAGAAATATTAACAAAGACAAACAATATTTAATCTATTCTCAATTTGACAACAGACGTCAAGAACAAAAGTTTGTCAATAAAAAGTATGCATGTGTGCGTCAAATACATGGTACGTAGTGTGTGTAATGTTTTCTTTATTGATTTAATGTATGTTTTATGCATTATTTTAAAAAAATATTAGCATTGTGCACTTCTTCTGTATATTCTCTATAAGTGTGGAAAATTTCATACTCCTCCGTCCGCGCAATTTTCGTAACAAGGGATAGAAAGTTTTTGCTTCACGTATTAATATATAAATAATGACATTTGCGTTGTATGCGGAATAGATTAAGCTAAATGTTAAAGTATCTGTTTCGATGAAGTCAATTTTGACGACATTTGAGAACAAATATAATATCATATTATGATTACAAAATATTTGTAATTGAAGATTATTTTTCATTAAAAATTATCTTTAATTCGCCCAATAGCTTATCAATCAAAGAGAAACCAAAGTAAATACTATCCTACCCAATGTATTCTTAGAGTTAAAATGTAAGTCTATAAGATCCAGAGCTTGATGCGATGTATTAAAATTAACAGGAAATTCATTTATAGACCAGCAGGTGAGCCATGAACCGGTCACCGTCCTCGTCGAACCCATCGCTTGCAACGAAGGGCTCGATGAGTAAATTAACCCACACACACAGCCCACTGAGTTTCTCGCTGGATCTTCTCAGTGGGTCGCGTTTCCGATCCGGTGGTAGATTCTACGAAGCACTGCTCTCGCTAGGGCCAGTCTTAGCAACATTTCCGGTTTGAGCCCCGTGAGCTCACCTACTAGCTCGTCGAATCTAGAATAAACCCTTGAGGTTACTAAAATAGGTAGAAAAAAAATACATTAACACCATCAAACTCTGAGTTTCCTTGCATCAAAACTCAAAGATTTATGAATGATTTTCATTCCTTAATGTTTAGGTTCAAATAGGGCATGCTCCTTTAAGTTTTTATATCCACATTTAATAATATCCCTATGTTTTATTTTAATAAATAATTCACCGCATTCCCCCTTCATTATCTCATCAGCTATAAACTTACCGGTGGGGAGGTCTGGTCGCGCCATCCAAACATCGTTCCACACGTGATAGTTCCAGATGGAGTCAACGGATTCCATCTCTTCCATGTTCTCGCTGTAGTATTTGTCGACCGTCAGAGTGCTGTTAGCGTCGTGGGCCGACACCAGGTTGGACACCACACGGGATGGGATCCCCAAGGCTCTGCACACTGAAGGAATATAATTGCTATATAATTCTTGTGTTCTGGTATTAGTTTAGGTTAAGTTAGGTAGGTTCTACTGCTCTGCCTATTTCTGCCTTGAAGCAGTGATGCGTTTAGGCATGAAGGGTCGGGCAACCGTTGTACTGTTAACTGAGACCTTAGAATTCATATCTCAGAGTGGACATTTACATTGTATTCGTCTATGGACTCCGGTAACCGCTTAACGCCAATTGGGCTGTAAGATAGACCACACTATAAGCAATAAAAAAGGAAGAGACCAGGAGATGATTCCTATGACGCCGACATCGTAATGTGCAGTACACATTACTTGTGCCGTATTAACTTTTCTAAAGAAAGCTGTATTAATATTTCTAACAGGTTTTTCGATTTACGATAGGTAGCCCAAATCTATATAAAATTATTGACGCAAATACCTTAGAATCAAAACTGTTTGTTGGAAAAGTTTTTAAGGTAAGGTCTTTAAGAAGTGGGCGGTTTTGTTAAGGTTGATTGATTGACGAATGTACATATGTGTACTGCATGTTTTATTTTTTGGTATCGGCATATCTCATTAACCAGTGTACAAGAAGGGCCGCGGTACGCGAGGAATGGCGACGTCTGGTGAAGTGCACCACCAGCCGAAGGGATGACCACGACCACTCTGCCAAGAGTGCATGCGACTGGGAAGAAGAATCGGCATATATTTTCATGTCAACTTAATTAGCTACACTTACCAGCGGTGACGACGCCAGCGAACACCCAGCACTGTCCATAGGGCACCGTCTGCTGGGTCTCCAGGAATTGTGCCAGGATCTCCACGGATCCGGTCCATTCGGACGGTGCTGTTCCATCGTCGTACTGCCCATCCCAGCGACCAGCCAACACGCCCTCATCGTCATTCGAGTTCACAATCTTTGAAATAACACGAGCTACCTTGACTGGATCACCGCGTCTGTAACGAAATTATTGTGAGCGTATCTCTAAATGGCTGCAGAATCCGGGTATGGAATGAGCTCCCCTCCACGATGTTGCCCGAGCGCTATGACATATCATTCTTAAAACGAGGCTTGTGGAGAGTATTAAGCGGTAGGCAGCGGCTTGGCTCTGCCCCTGGCATTGCTGAAGTCCATGGGCGACGGTAATCACTCACAATCAGGTGGGCCGTATGCTCGTCTGCCTAAAAGGACGATACGTACGATAAAGAGGAATAGGAAACTGCAGTGCACTGCATTTTGGGTCCGCACGTGTAGGTGGTGTTATCTATTTCGCCCCTGCATAATTGAAGGGTAGAGCAGCCGTTGTATTGTAAAACTGAGACGTTAGAACTCATGTCCAGAGGTGGGTGGTGCCATTCACTTTGTAAATATCTATGGTCTCCGATGACCACTAAACACTAGGTGAAGCATGAGCTCGTCCATCCATCTACGCAACAAAAAAACAAGAACTTAATGACTCAAGCTCATAGCAATTGGCAATGCACTGCACGATTCTTTTCAAAACCAAACAAACATATTCCAACGCACGTTTTCTAGGTAATTCAATGCCGGACTCCATAATTTTTCGTAAATCAGGTAAACCTAGGACGTTAATGTACCGATTAACGTCGCTTATTCTTATCAAAAGCTTATCTCGCATTCAATCGTTGTCGCGAACATTCATGTCGGTTCTAGAATATTCCGGACACGTACGCGAGGTGACGTTTCTGACTGCATCTACCATTTAGACTTCGTACATCCGTATGGAATTACCAGTTTGCACTTTCCATTTATGTGTAACTTGTATTTATAGAAAACGTTACTAAGTTATCGGAATATTACAAAAGAGTCGACTCTAGTAGATCTATTTATCTTTAGAACATGCGATCCAGTTTGGGAAATTTAAATTTGATTGATTCATTGAATGATTTAATTGATTGAATTGAATGAAAAATTAAATTAAATGACCTGTAGATGTAAATGATAATGACTCGTGCAACATAAACTTTTTTAAGGGATTTTCTATAAAATCACATATATTTGTGATGGCGCTCACAATATTATTTTAGTGTTCTTGGTAAAGTCAGTGTCTATTTCTGCCGTGAAGCAGTAATGCGTTTCGGTTTGAAAAGTGGGGCAGCCGTTGTAATTATACTGAGACCTTAGAACTTATATCTCAAGGTGGGTGGTGCATTTACGTTGTAGATGTCTATGGGCTCCAGTAACCACTTGGCACCAGGTGGGCTGTGGGCTTGTCCACCCTAATAAGCAATAAAAAAAAAAGTCATGCATTTTGTTATAGTATACTAGGCTTCGAAGATCATGCCGATTTATATTCGCATAGTCATATGACTGGCATGGTGCAAGTGCTTCGCATACTGAACAGTATCGTCCAAAAACATATCTGAGTTAGCTAATCATTTTTATTTTCGTCCCTTACGTTAAAGAAGACTTAAAATTAATGGATAATTCAACTTTAAAATCGTCAAACCACATCTAGGTTACACTTACTGGTTGAAAGGAAATTCGGCTTTATCCAGCATAAACATACAGGCGGGTAAGACGACAGCGTCAAACTGTCCATAGAACCACGGCTTTCCCCTGGTCGTCTTGATGGGACCCACCCAGACCTTACCAACGTCGTTTAGCACATACTCCTGGAGTAGAGTGCAGTCTTCCATGTAGGTTTGGTCATCTGGACAAATTGTCATTAGGTTAGTACTGTAAAAGTGCCTTGATAGAGAGAATCAAAATTACTTTTTTTTTTTATTGCTTAGATGGGTGGACGAGCTCACAGCCCACCTGGTAAGTGGTTACTGGAGCCCATGAACATCTACAACGTAAAATGCGCCACCCACCTTGAGATATAAGTTCTAAGATCTCAGTATAGTTACAACGGCTGCCCCACCCTCCAAACCGAAACGCATTACTGCTTCACGGTAGAAATAGGCAGGGCGGTGGTACCTACCCACGCGGACTCACAAGAGGTCCTACCACCAGTAAAACTTTTACGGCTTAATATTAAAACTGTAGAGTACAAAGCTCCTATAACACATATTTTACAATACGGTTCCACTTTAACACGAAAATAAAAAATCCCTAAACCCTACTTATAACAAGGTAATTAATGTAAGGGAATAACCGAAATTTTACTGCTTATTTTTTATTTATAATAGGTAAAAAAAATATATGCAGGCACAGTTGAGGTGTTTCAGAAAAACTACTCTCCTTTACTATCATATTTTATAACACGATTTCGCACAATACGAGACTTTGTAGGAACATATTTACTGGTGGTAGGACCTCTTGTGAGTCCGCGCGGGTGGGTACCACCACCCTGCCTATTTCTGCCGTGAAGCAGTAATGCGTTTCGGTTTGAAGGGTGGGGCAGCCGTTGTAACTATAATTGAGACCTTAGAACTTATATCTCAAGGTGGGCTCCAGTAACCACTTAACAACAGGTGGGCTGTGAGCTCGTCCACCCATCTAAGTAATAAATAAAAAAAACTACTGTGTTATAGGAGGGTTACCTGTATTCGAAGTGTCGGAAGTAATATAATGACAAAATAACGCGAGATTAAGCCGTAACAGTAATATAAATTGTGGCTATGGTTAGCGAAAAGCGAAAGAAATTCTTACCAGGATTCCATGGGTTAAAAAGAATGTAAATATCCTGGTCAAAGTCGTAGATCTCGCGGGCTGATGAGTTCTTCTGTCTGGTGACTACACGGAGAGACCAAGTGCCCACAGGAAGCGTCACAGGGGTTGATACCTAATGAATAATAATACACTTTAGGTATCATTAACGTGACCATTTTTTTTTTGTCACAGCGGGATATCTGCGAAATTATATAATCAAAAAAGTATTTAGTGCTTTACAAGTATAAGTATTTAAAGTATTTAAAATTTCAAGTATTTAAAAGAATCAAAGCACTAAACACAAAATAGTTAGTACTCTGTAATAGTCTGTACCTCTTTTATTAAATTAGCTCTATGTTGAATTGAAAAATAAATTTATCGTTTGGTCTGTTTGCAAAAGCGGAATTACGTCGGCCTAACTGGGGACAGTGGGACAGAATGCCCGAAAGCGGGACTGTCCTGCCCAAACCGGGACGTATGGTCACATTATGTATCATGCTAAGCGGGTGTCAAGTGCGTCTTTTGTTCACTGGCGCGAGCTCAATGCAGCATCGAAGTGTGAGTGAAGCAAGTATGTGTGTTATGTTTTTTTTTTGTTTTCGTTTCAACAAAGATAATAATGCGATGGCGATAATAATAAAGATAAAGAGCGGACGGTTAGCGTGGTATGGACACGTGATTCGTAGAGAGAAGATGTATGTGATTAGGAGATCTATGGAAATGGTAGTGCAAGGTAGAGGAGGAAGAGATCGACCGAAGAAGACATGGATGGAGTGTTTGAATGACGATATGAGAGAGAGAGAGAGGAGTGGTTATTGAGATGGCGGCTAATAGAAGAGAATGGAATAGAAAAATTCGCTGTGCGATCCCACCTAGTGGGATAAGGTGGAGACAAAGAAGAAGGATAATGCGGTGGTACGTCGTGAATACTGAATGTATTGTCTTGTATAACAGTAGCTTACAGCTTAGTATACTTTTCTGTTTTCTATTCTTTGATCTATTATTGTTTGTTAGTATATGGTACGTAGTATATTGTCGTATATTTCAATTGAGACAAGAGCGTGAAGTTTGGATTGTAATCTATAAGATCTGCCTTGCCCTCCAAACTGGAATGCTTGAATGTGCGCTCTGGCTAGACAGGCTGGTACCTACTTAATCGAACCTTCAATACGTTCTATTACAAATAGATCCTAACATTAACATTAATTAATAATACTTTAAAAACAGACAAAAAACATGCTTTTGTAGCTAACTGAACTAAAAAGTAGATCGTAATTCTCTATAAGTTTCAAAATAAATAAATGGTGTGATAAAAATAAAAAATAAAAAGTTATTATTGTCACTTAAAGTTGGTTTTAACACGGCCGTGTTTATAGTAATTTAGAGTTTTCGTGATGACGGACGTCCGTGTTAGTTGAAGTAATAAAAGTAGTTTTCAGTCAAGAGAAACGAAGAAAATATAATACTGTTTTTAAGTAATAATAGTGAGATGTTAAGAGAAATCCTTGCACACGAGTGTAATACAAATTTTTCGATTCTTTATTTTCATTAAGATACGTTAAAACAAAAACAAATTATATGTTAAAAATAAACCACAAAAAGTAACATTGATTTTTAATGAACCAACCCAACAGGATGACCGATTATTTTAGTAATAAAAAACACGTTTCAATATTATTAAGATTGTATCAAAATTATTAACGAATATTTATTGACATGTTATTTTAAAAGACATCGATGCTTTATTTTCTGTATAAAATGTATAGTTAAATGAGCAACAGAATTTTCTTTCTTTTTAATACGCTTTTATTAGCTTCAGACGTATGTATTTTAGTATGTATGTTTGTAACGGAATTTTTGAACATGATTTTGACCTCCTTCAAAACGTCGGATTCGGATTACGTCGGAAATTTGGCATACTTTTAAGGTCCGATGAAAATCAATATTTAAATAAATATATTGAAAAAATTGAAATTCAACTAAAAAATGAAAAATAGCTAATAGTTGAAAAAAAAACTAACAAAATACGCTTTTATAGAAAATCCAACTAAAAAATAGAAAATAAATTTTAATTAATTTGTATTAAAAATAGTGTAAGAAAAAATGATTTTGTTAGTTTTTTTGAACTATTATTTATTTCTCTCCAACATGTACTGAATATCTCTAGTGCTATCAATAAAAATGAAAAGAGTAATACATAAATAAGCAATGGCGTATTCGTGATTTTGTTCGACCAACTTTTGATCGGAAGCGTGTTTTAGCAAAGCGTGTTTTTATAAAAAAAAAAAAACAAATTGATTAGCTAAAGCCCGAACATAAGGTAAAATGAACATCACGAGTTGAATTGATTGATGTGTAATTTGTTTTTATTGAGTTTATGTTGTTACTTTTTTTACTTTTAAAATTTATATATCTGCACTTGTAGATAGGATAATTGTATTTTGTGTATAGGTGCTTCATGCTATGTTCCTTACATTTATTGGAATATTTGTATATTTGTCTGTGTATATGTGTTCAATACATTTATGCAATGCACCTACAGGTACTCTGTGAAATACCTTTACTTAACTTGTCGTTAATGTCTGAGGGTTTTTTTTTTGTTTTTCCTACCGAATCTGATGGCCTTGAGAGGCTATTTCAGCGTAACCTTAACTAGTAGGTGAGCTCACGGGGCTCAAACCTGTCGACGTTGCTAACACGAACCCTAGCAAGAGCTGTCTGAGGGATTAAGTCCGCCATTGTATATCTTTATTCTTTATACATAAAGTATAAATAATGTAAGTTATATAAAAATATTCGTTCACATTCGTTCGTGTGTCATTAGATTGATTTAAACTTTACACAGTTGTTCTTGGCAATGCAATGAAGGTGAATAAGCGCAATACCATCAGCCTACGAATGCAATTAAAAAAGGCAAAAGAAAAAAGTTATATTTGATTTTGTAATCATATTACATGGTTTTGACAACGATATATGGTCGATTGACTAGTTATATTTGAGATTTTAAATAGTTCGTCCTTTTTTAATTTTTTTAATCAAACAAACTTATGTGTTGCTAGAATTTTGTAATTATTTAAACATTTATACAAACGAGAAAAATATATTATATAAGTGTGGAATGCGATCACAAACCAAACTAGTTTAATTTTCATATAATGTATTATAATTAATGTTGTTTCTTTGATTTGAATAACACGAGTTAATGTTGTCATTAACATATTTATTAAAAATGGAGATTTAAATACCCGGTTTGTCAATGTTCTATAAGTTTAAAGATAAATAACTTGAAAGAGAGAGAAAAATTAAGAATAAAATTACATGTCATAAGTATCCGTCCATCGATCATCCAATACCAGTTATATCATTTTATCTTTGAACTTGAGCTGGTCAAATGAATCATCCGACTTTCGACCTCTAAGGGCCATTTTAAGCCGTGCTTCTGAATTTAGCAATGTATACATCTCGACCTTAGTCTAAGATATGATTTAATTCAACGATCCAAACCAATCGACCAAACCTCGTGGGAAACAAGCTAAAATAATCACTAGTCGTGTTCAATAGAGCCTACTATCGTACCTCAAAGGATAGTGTGTTTTCTTGTACGTCTATTATTTTAGCGGTCCATGAATGTTTGTCGGCCACCGCATCACGGCGCAGGAATACCGACCCTTGAGTCTCCATTGTGGGGTTGTCACCTAAAACAAAGAAGTTCGCATCAATAAGCCTTCTATAAAATTAGCCGTCAACATGATTGTTGAAACAACAATAACTACTTCATACAACATACTTCATACTTCAGTGCGCCACGTAGGGCACCGGTGACCTATATAGCAGTTAAAGTGTTAAAGGACTTAAAAGCAAACGTGAATCTTTTAGGTCGATAGCCCACCGAATTTCTCGCCGAATCTTCTCAGTGGGCCGCGTTTTTTTTTAATGCTCTTGCAGGCAGATGGGCACGCGGTCCACCTAATGGTGAGTGCTTACTGTTGCCAATGGATTTCAGCAACGCCAGGGGCAGAGGCCTGACTACATGCTGCTTCCAGATCCGGTGGTTGATTCTGCGAAGCACTGCTCTTGCTAGGGCTAGTGTTAGTAGCACTTCCGGTTTGAGCCCCGAGAGCTCACCTACACGCTAGAGTGAAGCTGATATAGCCTCTTAAGGCTATCAGAATAGGTAGAAAAAAAAATTGTGTCGAAGCCAACTGTGGTTGCGCACACCGCAAATATTGCTCATAGAATTGCACAATTTTGTTCACTTGGTGAATCGTTCGTGAATACGTCCCGCGATGGAACTCACGGAAACCTGTAATGGTTCGACTTACCAAGCGAGAAGACTAGTTGCACTAGGTCATTCGACTCGTCGTAGGGTCTGGTGAACCGGATGACCCCGTTAAAAGGCTGGCCGCGACGGACGATCGTAGTTGTCGGGACCTCATCGTTTACGACCTCGTATCTGTTTTAAAAAAAAGAAAAAAAAATGATTTTCTTTGCCTCTGTTCTTCTTCGTAGCGTTTTCCCTGCCTAGTGCCAGGATTCGCTTTCTTATTTAAGCTGCTCCACTTTGCCCGGTCTTCGGCATCCTTCTGGGTAAGGCTATTCTCCTCCATATCTGCCTTTACCACATCCAACCAGCGTTTCATGAACCTATCGCAGGGTCTGGGACCTGGGTTTATTTGTCTGTTTGAATAATGTTTTGTTTCCAATCGAAATGTAGTCAAACCGGTTCCAAGGTAGTCAATGAATAGGCAGGATGGTGGTACCTACCCATGCGCACTCACAACACGTCTTACCACCAGTAAACAAATATACAATTACTTATATTAATTAGTAAAGTACAACGGTCTTACTGCTAAGATTGGTCTAGTGACCGATTAGTAATTTTGTAGATAAATTACTTGCCTGATAGTATTATGAGGTTGAGCATTTTCTCGTGGGTAGAAGTGGACAACGTCAACAAGTAGTGACTCCATTGTCTTGGCTGTGAACAAAAATAAAATTAAAATACTAGTAAGAAACTGATTTTTAACTAGTGGTAGGACCTCTTATGACCTATTTCTAGCGTGATGCAGCAATGCGTTTCGGTTTGAAGGGCGGAGTGGCCGCTGTAACTATACTGAGACCTTAGAACTATGTCTCAAGTGGCACATTTACGATGTTGATGTCTATAGGCTCCAGTAACCACTTAACACCAGGTGGGCTGTTAGCTCGTCCACCCACCTAAGCAATAAAAAAAACCAAAAAAACGGACTCAGCAGAGCAGTAGTTAACGCTCCTGACTGTTGTGCCGAGGGTCGTGGGTTCGATTCCCACATCGGGCAAACGCTGTGTGATGAACAGATGCGTTTACTCTTTGTCTGGGCCTTCATTATCTATATATGTATATATTTAAACGTATTTAAGTATGTTTGTCAGTCTCTGATACCACATAACATAGGGAATCCTAAATTGGTGCCAGATCACCGTGCGTGATTTGTTCCCAGTTAGCTACTTAGTTATTTAGGAAAATTTTAATATTTATTTAAATTATGATAGTCTGTTTTCTTAGCAGCCCCCCGTCGTCTGTGTCAATAGTTTCATTCATATTTTAGCTATTAAGATTCCTGGTTATCATTGAATAGCTTGACTGTGAGTTCATCTACAGTCTAACCAATAAAAAAACGAGGCATCCTATTTATTACGGAATGCAAAAAATCGTGCAGACTAATATCTACTGACAAAGTATGATTCATTATTCATTCGAAGTACGAATCGATTCCTTTTGCCTCCTTACTTTGTTTAGAAAAAACAAACCGACGAAATAGTATTTAAAGAGTAATTCACAACCGCAAATTTATGATACAAAAAATCATACATACAATCATACATTTAATTCGCTTTTAAATTCATCAATTTATATTTAAATGAATGCAGCGAAACAAAAATTTGCGAGAAGCAATAAAATTATAATAATTTATATGTCGTGGTTAATGACTTTTAGTAATTTTAAGACGTTGTTTTGACTATTATTTTAAATGGTGAAATGTTGTTTTGATAAATATCCCAAAATACAGGGTAGACTCCGTAACGCCACAGTATAAAATGGTGGTACGTGGACAGAGTCGTGGAGTACCCTGGGTCAGGAAGGTTAAGTACCTGGGAGTCACCCTGGATGCATCCATGACATTCCGCCCACACATAAAAACAGTCCGCGACCGTGCTGCATTCATTCTCGGCAGACTCTATCCCATGATCTGTCAGCGGAGTAAAATGTCCCTTCGGAACAAGGTGACACTTTACAAAACTTGCATAAGGCCCGTCATGACTTACGCGAGTGTGGTGTTCGCTCACGCGACCCGCAACTACATAGACACCCTTCAATCCCTACAATCCCGCTTTTGCAGGTTAGCCGTCGGGGCTCCGTGGTTCGTGAGGAACGTTGACCTACACGACGACCTGGGCCTTGAATCAATCCAGAAATACATGAAGTCAGCGTCGGAACGGTACTTCGATAAGGGTATGCGTCATGATAATCGCCTTATCGTTGCCGCCGCTGACTACTCCCCGAATCCTGATCATGCAGGAGCCAGTCACCGTCGACGCCCTAGACACGTCCTTACGGATCCATCAGATCCAATAACCTTTGCATTAGATGCCTTCAGCTCTAATACTAGGGGCAGGCTTAGGGACCCCGGTAACCGTACTCGTCGAACTCGACAAAGAGGTCGACGTGCAACCTAGCCCATGCATCAGCCCGCTGAGTTTCTCGCCGGATCTTCTCAGCGGGTCGCGATTCCGATCCGGTAGTAGATTCATTCGCGAAGCAATTGCTCTTGAGTTGTTAGGTCTCCTTCGGAGGCGCTCGGGCAACTGTTAGCAAATCCCACCCATCCTGGCTGAGCCTTTGCTCGCCCACCTGTCCTGGTGAAACTGGAAAGGCCTTCGGGCCACCAGTAATCTCTCAATCATAAAAAAAAAGAGTCGTGGCATTCCGTGTCAGACAGTCATTCCGTCCGTCTGTCAATCGGACTGTCGGTTTACCCTGTCATTGTGAAAGTTGTGTGTGTTGAGTTTCAATAATTATTATTCAAAAGGTTTTATTGACTTTTTATAAACTGAGTTCAACCAAATACGAGTGATGACGGAAACTACCGCTTAGCCATCCCTGGAGCTGCGCCGACATATATAACATTATGGACATTTGGTATCGCATAGCAATTGTCGTACAGCTGTAACAAGTGAATTTGATAAAAACAAATCAACGGCATATCAAATTCGTAGGATTATTTTCAAACGATTTTGGAATTATTCTTTTTTTTTATTGCCCTTGTAGGCAGACGAGCATACGGCCCATCTGATGGTGAGTGGTTACCGTCGCCCATGGACTTCAGCAATGCCAGGAGCAGAGCCAAGCCGCTGCCTACCGCAAAACTGAAAAGCGATCCAAAATAAACCTGTGCGCAAAGTTCAATTGATCTAAAACTTATGGTAATCATTTTAAACGAAATCGAAGTCATGCTAAAATACTATTTTATTGATTAAAATAAACGTGAAGTAACTGTCACTTAACTTAATTTATATTTCGATTAACCGCTGTTACAAAGATACCGCGGTCAGCGAACGAATACAGAATTCAAACGCGTCATCTGATTTTGTTGCCATGGCAAAAATCGTCAACATCTTCTTTATCAATCATATAACTTTGCATTATTCTATAAAAGATTATAAAAATTAGATAATAAGCTCTTTCTTAACTTACCTAGTTATGTTAATAATAAAAAAATTAACTGCAGATTTATCAATGTTTATAATTACGTAACAACTGTCATATTTTTTTACATCCTTATAATAATAAAAAGCAGACGGCAATACGGTTATGAACTAAATTTTCGCTAAAACTTTAAATATCACAATAACAGTCATCTTGTATGTTATCTCGTTTTTGTTGTTAAGGCAACATTAAGTATAATATGTCTGGTAACAATAATAAGCACGCGTAATGCTAATCGCGAGGATGTTGTGAATCGATCAGCATTTACATTTTCGAGACGGTGATTTGAATCTGTGTTCGCAGTCCTCACGACTATAATTAGATGCTGCATAGTTTGTTTGTGAAAATATATTTACGCCTGCATAAAATATTCAGAACGGACACGAAGTTTTGAGTTTTTCCTCTAACTATTTGCTGGTAGTCTAATTCCAGCTACGCTATGGCTTACTGGTGGTAGGACCTCTTGTGAGTCTGCGCGAGTAATTACCACCACCCTGCCTATTCCTGCCGTGAAGCAGTAATGTGTTTCGGTTTGAAGGGTAGGGCAGCCGTTGTAACTATATTTGAGATCTTAGAACTTTTATCTCAAGGTGGGTGGCGCAGTAACGTCGTAGATGTCTATGGGCTCCAGTAACCACTTAACACCAGGTGGGCTGTGAGCTCGTCCACCCATCTAAGCAATAAAAAAAAAAGTTGTTATCACGGGATTCAACCTAAAACTGGCCCTAGCATGAACAGTGCTTCGCAGTATCTACCACGATAAACTACGTTGGCTGTTTCTATGGGTTACTTCGCTTTTCGAAGTCTTCGTCATAATCGACGGGTTCGACGAGGACGGTGATCGACGCTTAAAGAGCCTAAAAGCACAAAGATCGCATTCGGAGAGATATGTTTTAGGAGACGGCGACTTTACGTTGCCCCGTAGCGTGGTGGTATAAGGTCATTCAAAAGGACACGTGTGACAGCAAATCAGTTATCTGTTAATACGCGAATGAAAAAAAAATGAATGGGAAGGTTCTTAATTCGACAGTTTTTTTGTGTGTGTGTGTATTGCCTCAGATTTTTTTTGCAGGTGTACCAATTTTTATGATTGCTTTTGTTTTGTTAAGTTGGTGCTACTTGTTTGATCCCGTTAAATTTTAATTAAAATCTGACCTGGAGTTTTTGATGTATCCTTTAACCTGATTAATGCATATTTAATTGATCTTGACTATGTACCTACTTCAAGTGAGTTTTTTGTCTGTCGACATTTCGTATTATCCAGAATACGGATGTGTGAACAAATTTAAAACATTTATGAAATTTGATACTTTTGCATTATCGGACTTGAACAAAATAATGACGTTATCTTCCAATACGATGATTTCATTCGTATTCGCAGCATTTTTTGCAGTTAATCTTCCAATAGAATCGTTAATGGTATTTTAATTTGTAATAGAAAATTTACTGACTTTTGTTTTTATCAAAAAGTCCTCTTTCCCTCTCTGGATTAGATTGATTTAAGGAAAAGAAGCAAGCGCACTATTTCTGCGCGCTGATTCAGTATTTTCACTGGTATAATGTTATTTCTTAAAAAAGCGGGAAAACTTTCATTATTTTTAGAAGGTTACTAATTCTTATAAGATCTAAATGTCAGGCTATAATTTCTAATATACATTAACAATATTATTTCTATCAGTTTGAATAAAACAAGTGTTTATAAATTAATAGTAAAGGTGTAATTAAAAAAAAACTTATTACACAATAAATATCCACTAAATAAATCAGTATATACATAAAGATTTCATAGGTTTAATGACAAACCCCCCTTCGACCGGGTATCCGTAAATGGATTCCCCAGCGTTAAAAAAAAAAAAAAAAAGGTTTAATGACAAAGGGAAGATATTACTCGGAAGACCGACGGCCAGAATATTGTTGTTCGGAACTTGTCCGAGTATAATAAACTGTAAGCTTATCTTGAAAACGTCATAAGCTAGATTCAGACATCTGTCGAATATCTTGTGTTGTATAATAGCTACCGCTACAAAAATATATCGGTGTATACAAAACATAATATTATCAGTGCCCTAAATTAAATTTAGTTACCTAAGTTAATATTAATTATATTTTCCTCAATTCAGTTCTATTGTTTCTATATAGCAAACTAGCGGCCCGCTCCGGCTCCGCTCGTTTATTTTTTTTAATAAAGGAACACATTGTGGCATAGCTATAATAGTTAGACATATGCTGTCATGACACTTTTTATAAATACTAAACTGCTCTACAAAGTTGTAGTACATTATTTTGTTCTATCATCAATAGTTTTCGCAGAGCACGCGATGTAAAGAATATTTTAGGTATTTTTTTTATACCTTGGGTTACATTATTGGAGTTTTAGTAAGGAATCCCTAACTTTTTTCAAAAAAGATTATAGCCTATGTCACTCGGGAATAGTGTAGCTTCCAAACAGTGAAAGAATTTTTCAAATCGGCTTAGTAGTTTCAGAGCCTATTCAATACAAACAAACAAACAAATCTTTCCTCTTTATAATATTATTATTATTATTATTATTAGTATAGATAAGCCTCATTGCATCGACAGATTCTAACCTCATTCTTGTTGTTAATAAAAATAGTCGATTTGAATATAGAAAGACAAACATATGTATACCTACTAGCTGGCCCGGCAAACATTGTTTTGCCATATAAATTATTTCTAGGAAAGATTCTAGCCTAGATACCGACTGCAGCGCCATCTGCCAGGCTGATTTGTAAATCTAAACCATCCAGGGTGCCCCCAAACGCATACAATTTTTTTTTATTAAAATCCGTCCAGCGGCTTAAGAGGAGTTCAGTGACAAACACACGCACAGAAGAAATATATGTATGTTTATATAAAAATGTAATTTATTAGCATTTAAGGTCAAGAGACTCCGCGCTATAGCTTTGAATTAATGTTTTATTGAATTCTTGAATTACTAATGTTATATTTCTACTAAACTTTTTAGTTGGTAATGATAATCAGAGTTGCGATAAAAGTAAAATTTTTACGTAGTTATTGAAACTTTCACGATTCCCGATACTTCGATTTGATTGTCTATTTTATCGGTTGCGTCTTTCTTAGATCTCTCTAATAAAATTTGAATTTCAGTAATCATAATATATAGAACCGTAAATCTGAATTCATGTAACGAATACGAAGGCACGCGAATTGAGTTTTTATGTTTGAAGTAAAAAGAAAAATACAAGATTTTCTTTTTTTTTTTTTATTTATTGCGTAAATGGGTGTACGAGCTTATAGCCCATATAGTGTTAAGTGGTTACTGTAGCCGATAAACATCGTAACATGACACATAAGGTATTGAGTATTGAGACGTTAGGCCGTAAACTCAATGTTATTGTATAACGGTTATCCTAAACTTCAAATTGAAATACATTACTGCTTTGTCGCAGAATTGGATAGGAAAATGGTACCTACCTGCACGAGATTAGAATAGAATGCCACTGGATATGCCAAAAAAAGAATGAGAAATTGTAATGTTACAATTTAGTAATGTAAATTATTATAATAGTAATAATAATCTCATTATTGGTATTTATGATATCAGCATTATCCAAATTCATTTCAAGTACTGGTATATTTATATCGAAAATATCATTTTTAAAAATAATAATGATTCAAGACCGCTTTGGTACTGGCAGATTAATGGTATGTCTATCTGCCAGTACGTAAGTGATCTAATGAAAACATTTGCCAAAAAATGATAGTGATGACGAATATTCAAAAATTTACAGGTTCCATTTAATTAAAAAAAACAACAAAATAGACAACATTAAATTCAATTTTAAGAGAAAATCGAATGTCGTATATAAAGATATTAAAAATATAAACTGCTTAAAGTGGAACAAAACTATAACATATTATGTACCTCCCCGCGTTATTAAATATATTATCTGTGCTCGCGATTTATTAAAGCTCATACCAAATATAATTCGTTTTTGGAAGAAAGAAAAAAAAAATTCAAAATGTTTCTAATTGCCGCTAATTGCCGCTGTTATCTAGCCGTAAATCGGAAAACGGATTACGGCTAATCTGCTTCTCAAAACAAAATAAAAACAAATATTATTAAAAAAATCAAATAGGTATTTTTAGGAGCTTGTAAATTATCATGACCTTACCTTCAATTCGAAATAAAATTTTCCCACCGAAAAGAATGGACAAAAAATTCAGAGCTTGACGACTACATGTCGATGCTCTTCTAATCTTAAATTTTAAGATAATTGATTAATTGATTAACATGATTATGGTTTTGAAATGCTGTACCTAGATTTATTCTGAATATCACAGTCCGAAAATTTATTAAAAATATTTAATATTTGAGGCCTATTTTGATTTGTTTTCGTCTCGTATCTGAAAGCTTTCGAAGCTCGTAACTAAGGTGAAAGTTCTAGCTTAGATGTCGACGAGAATCGCTTGCAAATAAATAAATAAAAATCGATTACATACCTGTTTTAAAATTCACAACACTTTTAAACTCGACACTGGTCTTATGAACGGATCAAAATAGCCGCGACGGCTCTTGAATGCGGACTGAATGAGATCCGTGGCGCGCGCTGTTTATAATGTAACATGAAAATAAGATGTAGTATGTGTACGGTGACTATAGTTTCGTGGAAATTTGGGATTTTAAATTAAGAATAGATTTCTTGGGAAAAAATCTAGATCACGAAACGACATGCTATTTATACGTATTAATTATTGTAATGAGAAAGTAAATAAATTATCCCGAGTGCCTCCAAAGGCTGAGAAGATCTTCACATTTGCTGTCAAACAGAACATCTTCACATTTACTGATGGTAGGACCTCTTGTGAGTCCGCACGGGTAGGTACCACCACCCTGCCTATTTCTGCCGTGAAGCAGTAATGCGTTTCGGCTTGAAGAGTGGGGCAGACGTTGTAACTATACTTTTTTTTTTTTTATTACTTAGATGGGTGGACGAGCTTACAGCCCACCTGGTGTTAAGTGGTTACTGGAGCCCATAGACATCTACAACGTAAATGCGCCACCCACCTTGAGATATAAGTTCTAAGGTCTCAAGTATAGTTACAACGGCTGCCCCACCCTTCAAACCGAAACGCATTACTGTTTCACGGCAGAAATAGGCCGGGTGGTGGTACCCACCCGCGCGGACTCACAAGAGGTCCTACCACCAGTAATTCCGCAAATTATAATCTCAAAGTGGGTGGCGCATTTACGTTATAGATGTCTATGGGCTCCAGTAACCACTTAACACCAGGTAGGCTGTGAGCTCGTCCACCCAACTAAGCAATAAAAGAAATAAAAAAACCTCCAAGAGACTTTAATCTTAATATTATATCATCAGGTACATCGAAAACTCTTCGTATCATCTAACGGAATAAAACACTATGTTACGCTAGAAATTTTAAAAAGAATATGTCCAAAAACAATAATAAGTCATGGTCACAATACACACTGTTGTCGTCAGTCGTATTCATAGTATTCCTAAGTGTGAAAATGTTTGATTAGTACACAAGTATTCCCCAAACGTTGTCATTGATTACGTGCAACTAAATCTAAACAGTTTTACGTCATTGTAATGACAAATAAAATGTTGTAGTTTGTTAATGGCTACCATTTTAGCAGGCGGACTGCACATAGAAATAAATTTAATCAAAGACACTATTTTACAAGCGCTTATAAATTTTCCAGGCGAAAAGAAAGTGGTACTATTATAAAAGAAAGATAGAGAGTTTTTTTTATATTTTTATTTCCTACCTTGCTTGCCTTGAGCTAGCCTGAGCCTAGCTGAGCCTTGAGAGGCTATATCAGCTTCTCCTTGACGTGCAGGTGAGCTCACGGGGCCTAAACCTGGTGTGTTGCTAACACTGGCCCTAGCATGAGCAGTGCTTCGCAGAATCTACCACCGGATCGGAAACGCGATCCACTAAGAAGATCCGGCGAGAAACTCAGTGGGCATAGAACGAAGAAATAAGAATTAGGACAATAGAAGACAACAAATATTATTTCCAAAGTTTTTATTTGAAACTAAGCAATGTGCCGACTCTCGACTAGGGCTAGTGACACCCTCTCGATGTAGTTATAATATAATAGTTGGAAGATAAGACGTCCGGTGCATTCGTATCTAGTGATGCAACGGTGTTTGAATCTCGCAGGCGTGTACTAATTTTTCTAATAAAATACGTACTCTACAAATGTTCACGATTGACTTCCACGGTGAAGGAATAACATCATGTAATAAAAATCAAGCCCGCAAAATTATAATTTACGTAATTACTGGTGGTAGGACCTCTTGTGAGTCCGCACGGGTAGGTCCACCATCCGTAGTAGGTACCATAGTAGGTACCACCATCCTGCCTATTTCTGCCGTGAAGCAGTGATGCGTTTCGGTTTGAAGGGTGGGGCAGCCGTTGTAACTATACTTGAGACCTTAGAACTTATATCTTAAGGTGGATGGTGCATTTACGTCGTAGATGTCTATGGGCTCCAGTAAGCAATAAAAAAAAACATTTAAGTCGAACACTCAGCTGTAAATTGCAAAAATACTAACAAATAACTTCCTATTAACTAAAGTGTAAAGTCTATTACAAATATTATTATTAGCAACTAGTGTCTTAGTTAGTAATGATTATTAGTAAATAGTTATGAGTATTCGTAAAATGTAACAGGAAACTGTCGCGTCACTTCGTCATCGTCGGGTCGTGGTTTCACGAATAAACGTCACTCGAAGTGTGTCAGTGTCAACGCGTATTGATTCTCGTTAAATTTATATCCTTTAACAAAGGTATTCATAAAAAGAATTTAAGATGAATGTATGTATGCATTTTGTAATCTTGTATTGTTTTTATTGCTTAAATGGATAGTCGTGTTCGCGTCTCACCTGGTGCTACACACATTGAGACATGAGTTCTAAGGTCTCATTTTTTACGGTACAGTTGCCCCACCCTTAAACCCGGAACGCATTACTGCTTCACGGCAGAAATAAGCATTTACCTGTGCGGACTTACAACGCGTTTTACTACTAGTAAAATTTATTTACTCATTCCATTAGACTTGCAGACGAGCTCATTGTACACGACAATATTAAAACCAATATGAATAAGATTAAATAAAACCTCTTTTAAGATTTAATCTTCTTCTTCTTCTGTTTGATTGATGACTCGCGCGGCTTGCGCATTTGCCACAGAGCAAATTAAAAGGTTGGAAAACTACGTATTAAAAAAAACAGGATCGGATTCGGAAGGGAAAGATTAGGAAAGTTAGAAGATATATGAAAATACATATATAAATAAGAATAAAATTAAATATGTACATCATTAGATAATATAAAAAAAAAGGGTGCGTGCACTTAAGTACGCGCGTAAGCAGTTATACTTTAGTTTTATTAAATTTATTTCTTTTCTTTTTTTATTTAAATTTTAATCAATTTGAAAAAAAAAAACGATTAAATCACATCCTCAAACACGCATATTGGACATCCCGTTTCTTGACATCGTATAAATTCGATAATTCTCGGTACGGTTCGGAAAGTTCACCTGCGGCTATATTCAGACTCGCCAAGTTACGTCGGTCGTATTGTAATGAGCGATTTAGTGGGCAACTTCATTCTGTTAATTTTGTGTCACGGTGCGCGCGCATCGTAAAATTTCACTCACATCAATTTTTCATAACGCGCTTAAAGAAGTATAATTTCAAAAAAAAACTATTATACATTACAAGAATTCATAGATAAAAGACACAATATAATGAAAGATTTAATCTTATTATCATTATATCATTGAACCGGATTTTAAATTATTCGAAACTTCAGAAATAGTATAATGACAACAAAAAAAACGCAAGATAAAATCGTAAAAGTGGTTATTTAAATCTACGATTCTCGAAGGCTGAAGAAAATATCATGGTATTTAACCGGTGGTATTGGGTCTAGTTAAGCTAAACGAGTTAATACTATCAACGTACCCATTTTGCTTGCGAAGCAGTAAGTACAATTCCGGTTTGAAGAGTAGCACACCCGGTATATTATGTACTATACAACTACTCGATGATGCAGTAATTAACGGCTCTGACTCTTCCGCCGAGGGACATGGGTTCGATTTCCATTTCGGGCAAACTTTTTTTTTTATTGCTTCGATGGGTGGACGAGCTCACAGCTCAACTAGTGTTAAGTGGTTACTGGAGCCCATAGACATCTACAACGTAAATGCGCCACCTACCTTGAGATATAAGTTCTAAGGTCTCAATTATAGTTACAACGGCTGCCCCACCCTTCAAACCGAAACACATTACTGCTTCACGGCAGAAATAGGCAGGGTGGTGGTACCTACCCGCGCGGACTCACAAGAGGTCCTACCACCAGTAATAAGTTAATAAACATCGTCTGGGTATTTATTATCTATATATGTATTTATGTCAGTCTCTGAAATTCTAATTTGGGGCTGAATGACCGTGCGTGATTTGTTCCCAGTTATTATTATTAAAATGATCCTTAGACTGTGTCCACGGTCTTCAGTCTCAAGTTTATTGGAGTCATTCACGTAATATCTGGTGGCTCCAATGACCACTCAACACAAGCCTAGTGAAGATCACCTGTCTATGGAATAAAAAAAGAGACAAAACTGATCGGCCCATTTGCCCAGTCTGGAAAAGATCTCTCCCATTTCCATCCATTGTATCCTGCTTAGAGTTGTCAAAGTTTACGTTTTCTGGACTATGTTCTTCATTTCGTCTCCTTGTCTCCTCATTTGGTAAGCTCATTTTCGCTATAGAGCTTTATATTCATTAATAGGTTATCGCAAAACTTTTAAAAAACATTAAGAAAATTCTAGTAATATAAATTATTGAGGTCGCTGTATTGAGGTGAGTTTGACCGCAAAGTAAACCCGCTTATAAAAACAACAGAAGGAAAATATTATTCTTGTTATGTTAAATTTAACAATTAATTAAGATGAAATGTCTGTGTATGAATTAATCGCTTCTTGTATATTAACAAACAATTTTGGCAAAACACAAAACCAGTATCAGTCAATTTAGTTTGTTTTTGTAGTGTCAAAACATTTTAGCAAGATTATATTGGCTTGGGAATGTTAGAACGATTGTTTGTGTATAACGAAAACTTAGAGCTTCGGTTTCACAGACTTGCAGATGTTCGATTAACTTGAAAATTTGCGCATGCATCATGGTTACTCCAGTGACTCAGGTACTCCAGACTCTCCAGTATCGGAGTCGCTGGAGTATCGCTCGGACAGCTATTGGCAACACAGCCCACTGAGTTTCTCGCCGGATCTTCTCAGTGGGTCACGTTTCCGATCCGGCGGTAGGTTCTGCGAAGCACGGCTCTTGCTAGGGTTCGTGTTACAAAGTCCTCAGGTTCGAGCACCGTGAGCTCACCTACTAGTTAAGGTTCCGCTGAAATAACCACTCAAGGCTATCAGCTTAGGTAGGAAAAAAAATTGGCTACATTCCTCCTGGAAGAGTCCGGGTTCGCTCATTCGCCCTGGTGAAGTTGCAAGGCCCTTGGAGCCAGCGGTAATGCTTCTTTCCCCCCCTCTAC